TATATATAATTTGTTTAAATTTTATATTTTATATTAGTAAAAGTAGTTTCGGTGTAAAGGGAAAAATATTTTTTTTTTGTCATAGAGAAGGCTTTTATTGTACTTGTAATATCAGTATGCTTTTATTGAGAGGCATAGAGAAGGCTACCCATAGGGAGTTTTGATTGGTAGGAAGTTGAATGAAATATCATGAAGTAGAGTCGCTCGAGACGTCGGCTGTCAAACAAAATGGTATGAGTCCTACATCGAGAAGCCTCATAGGTGAAGAAAACTTTGTAAGATCAAGGGGACAACATGCTTTGATTGTGAAGAGTGTTTTAAATTTTTGGAGGAAAATATATCTTGATAATTTTTAGATATTGATAAAATTCAATAATTATAATTAAAAACTTATTAAATTAGTAAGTTTTAGCCACTTATAGATTCCAAATTCCAAGCTTTCTCTTTATAAGATTTGCATTCAAGATCTTAGTCAAATCCCATATGTTCATACTCAAATTATCAAATTAGGCGTCTAGAAAAGTAAAGCGCACTCCTTGGATGGCGGATAAATATGACTGTGAATGCTCCTCACGCGTTGTTGACTTACTTTTTCCATTTTTAATAAAATTAATTCATCATATACGCCCCCATGGGTGTTAATTATAAGACTTAAAGCACATTTTTACACATCGATTATTATTATTTTTTGGGCCAGACACCAACTATTGATTGAAGCAATGTTATCTCTCAAATATTAAAATCGTTACAATGTTATTCCTTGATTAACGATATTTATATTGCCTGTTAACTTAACTTGTATCAATTTTGGGTTAAGAAGCATTTTTTCTGTTAGGGTGTTCGCTACTTATAAGTTTTCTAGAGCTTGTTTGAGCGATATTGTGAAATTATTATTTTTGGCCGTTTGCATACGCATCTTACATCCGAGTGAGGTTTGTATCCTTTCCATATCTTTCCTAAACACATCTCTCCATACCCAATCACATCTATCCATTTAATTATTCATTTGATTTATTGGTGTCAAATTGCTATTTATGGCATCATAATCTCAAGGCTCCAATTTACATGTCTTTCATTTTTAATTTATATAAGTTATTAAATTCAATTTTTTTAATGTGGGACTTTTCACATGGGTTCAATTCCTCTCACACTTGGACAGCCAATCAATCTACCCCTAATGCATGAGTTTGCAAGCTCTGTATATTAAATATGTCACAAACACTGAATCCCTACTTTAGGACTAGTCCTATATGAGACTCAAAAAGTGTGATACATACAAGTCCCTGCTGCAATCAATGTTAGTCCCATTTTAAGCTTTAAATGTGTACACAATGTGAGTAACATGAGTTTACTAATCATCAATAGATCATAAAAAAATTAAAAAAAGAGAATTCATCAATTTGGTACTATTAATATGAGAATTAATTAATTAATTAGTATTATTTATTTACTTTGTGTTGAAGTAATATCATTTTTGCCCATAAATATTGCATACAATTTGTTATAAATTTTATATTTTACAACAGTAAAAGTAGTTTTGGTGGAAAAAGATAAAAAGACTTTATTATAAAAAAATGTTTCGGGGCAGAAAAAAATTATATACTCCCTTTGAGCCAAAATATAGTACATTGGTAATTAATTCACTGTTATAAAAAAATATTAATTGAAATTTTAATTTGTTAAAAAAATTTGTACCTTTTCAATTATATCCTTATTAAATACCCTATATAAGTGCATTGATAATGATAATTAATGAAAATTCCAAAGCATCATTTTTTCTCAAAAAAATAATAAATGAAGTAGGAATATAGTTAAAAAAATATTATAAAAATTATCTAATACCTTATATACTGAATTAAGCAAAGCTTTTAAAAGATGCTTTAAATTTGGTTTGGAGGTATGCAATTATACCTGACTACGGAATGTACAGGACATCACCACAGATTTGGCCGTGTTCGTGCTCCTCACGTGGACTTGATTTGCTTTTCATTACAACTAAAGCATATTTTTGATCTTCTTAATTTAATTATATAAGATTTTAATTTAGTATGTTAATTTATGTTAATTTTATAAATTATATTTTTAATCTTTTAACCCTAATACTGTTAGTTCAAATGATTTTTTTTGTGCCAATTATTTTTTATTAAAAAAATTAAATTTAATAGATCAATATTTGAGAATATTTTATTAATATTTATAAATTTAATGTAAAAAATTTTTGATAAAACTAACGGTATTAAAGTTAAATGACTGGAAATATATTTTATAAATTTAAGGAACCAAAATAAAATCTTTTATAAAGTTTAAAGGATTAAAAGTATAATTTAACCTTTTATTTCTAATATAATTAATTTTCCATAATGTACCTCTCCAATTATATTAAGAGAATGGGATAAGAATATGAGAGAAACGATAATAATTATTATACATTGTGTTTTGGATATATATGCAAAATCTCAACCACCAAACTTGTAAGTCGAACAAGAGACATTGCATGATCCTCCCACCTTGAAGCAAGATATCCTCTCAATCATGAAATTGTTGAACTCAAAAAGAGTAGTTAGTGGTGATGGAATAATCGACGAAGCAGCCAGACCGAGAGAGAAGGCTTCAATTCAGAGTAGGTCATATTTTTAATTAAGAAATGTAATTTACATGTTAAAATTTCTTCTCCTTCTCTTAATTAAAATGCACTTATTAGAATGTAATTTATATTCTTTAATAAAATTATAAAAGGATAACTAGAAAGATTGGGTTACGTTCGTATATCTGAAACACGCATGGATTTGAAATAATTAGCTCACCCAAGTACATAGAGGAACCAAGTTTTTAATAGAGATCGTATTGTCTTTTAGTTTATAATTTGGTCTAATCTCAGGAATTGGTGAAAACATCTTGATAACTAATGAATAACTAACTTAAAATTTTCACTACAAGATTTTTTTTTTCCAAACAAAAGAATGGTTCTTCGGAATTTAAATTATTAATGATCGCATTATTATACACACACGGACGCTTGCTTATGTATTTTGCTAATGTTGGTTCTAAAGTTATTTTGCTAATGTTGGTTCTAAAGTTATTTTGCTAATGTTGGTTCTAAAGTTATACTAAATAATTCCGAATCATGGCCGGGTTAACGTTTTCTGAGGGTTAGAAATTTTTCTAGGACTGGCCTTTTCTTTCTTCACAAATAGACTTATTAATATATATTTTAGATCTTGTATATTAGTTTTTTAAAAAATTATAATTTTCTAAAAATAATATACGGGACCTTAAATTACAAAAAAATATTTATTTAGTATATTTAAGTTTTAAATATAAAGTTAAAATAACGAATATATAAATAAACTGCGTTTCATTAGCTTCTTGTGGACTTCCACGTTAACTTGGAAGTCAAAGTTTTTCTTTTCTTAATTTCTTTCGCCTCGGACTTGGAAATCATTGCTCTTTTCTGAGAAATTTTGTGAATTGAAAACAAAATTATGAAAGGGTTAGAAAATTGGCTTTTTCTTTTTTTTAGCAGACTTAAGAAATTTTTTACATATGAATTAATTTGTTTTTTTTAAAGTATGATATATAATATAAAAACTCAAATATGTAATATAAAATTTGAAAGGATTAGCCTTTGCTCTGATAAGTCTTTGGAAGGCCGGTATCAACCCACTTAAACTTTTTTTTTTAACATAAAATAGTTATATATATAATGAAAATACATAAATGTTTTATATTAAACTCAAATATCTTATATAAATATATAAAGGCCTGAGTATTTTCTTATTTATTGCGACATTGGATAGGGGCACTGATTATTAGACACATGAAAATTTGGCATCTCACATTTAAAAGGATTAGGTGAAGAAAAACGAATATGGAACCATTAATATCGTCTGAATTTAAAAATAAGTCAATGTTAGTAGGCGAGCCGACTTGTGAAAGAGTTGTAAGTCAATATCAGTATGCGAGTAGACTTGTGAAAGACTTGGAAGTAATTAAAATATATGATGACGTTTTATTTGTAAATATAAAAATTTGAATTATAAATTTCAGAGTTAAGGTTATAAATAGGATTTTCATTTTTCATGTTGTTCAATAAATAATTAAAATGCTTTTTCACTATAATAAATAAATTAGTAATTTTTTATTTGTGAGAGTTGAAATTTTGCCGCAACAGGCCTTTTCTTTCTTCACAAACATACTTATTGTCACTACTTTTTGTCCCCAATATATCGTGGAAGATAATTTCTGCTGTTAGTGGAGTCTATTCTCTATACTTACCAAAAAAAAAGAATAGTAAAAATCTTGGAAGCATTTATATTAGAATCAAATATAAGTTATTTTTAAGGGATATTTAATTTATATTATTGTAATTATCATTTTAAAATACATATTCTTAAATAAAATGGGAATAGTTACATAATGAATATCCAATTCTTCCAAATTTCTTAAGAAAATATAATTCGTTAAAAATTTCTTAAGAAAAATTGTTATGTTATTAATATATTGTCTTCTAAATTCTAATTTGGGCTAATTATGTAGACATTTTTGTGGAAAATCGAAAGTACTAGGAGAAGAAACAATCAAAGCAATAAAAGGCACCACCAAGAGTGTGTGTGTGTGTGGTTTTTTTTTTTAAGGAAAAAGTTCCCGAAGAATTTTAAAAACTTCAGCGATCAATTTGGTAATGTCCAGAATAATATCTGAGAGGGGCTAGAAATAATGGTTTATTAATTAGTTATATTACTTCTTAGAAATAATGCTCCCGAATAATCGTTTATATTTTCCAATAGCATATATTAAAAACTATTTTTTTTTTCTTTTCTTTTGGAGACCTTACAAGGAAGGAGAAGGGGTGGAGATCGTTCAAATGCGGAATTTCTCAGCAATATTCAGAATAAAACAGATATATTAAAGAAAGGACTCTTCAAAAATTAGAGTGCTTCAACTCTTCAAAAATCAGTACTCAATACAGTTTGAAGTCTTTGAAGAGTTAGTAGTTTCACATGGCGTGGTTCTCACTTTCTTCAGTTCTCTGTCTCCAACTCTTTCTCATGCACTCCTTTTCTTCTTCCCTCAGTTTTCCATTATGCCGCCCCGACCAAAGTTCTGCTCTGCTCCATTTCAAAAACTCATTTTCCATTATAAAACTCGATTCTGATCCCTTTTTTGAGTCTTACTATATCTTTATTGGTTGTGAGGACGATAATATCATTCCATACTCCAAGACATCATCTTGGAGAAATGGTACAAATTGTTGCTTGTGGGATGGGGTCACTTGCAATCTATTAGGTCACGTAATTAGTCTCAACCTTAATTGTAGTCGCCTTCAGGGTAAAATTCTTCCCGACAATAGTCTCTTCCGCCTTACCCATCTCCAGAGACTTGACCTAGCTGGGAATGACTTTAAAGGGTCTCAGTTATTATCCAACTTCTCACAGTTTGTAAGTTTGACCCACTTACGTCTGGGTCTTGGCTTTTCTGGTGAAGTTCCAGCTCAAATTTCTTATTTAAATAAATTGGTTTCACTTTATCTTTTTTATCCTGTAAGTTTTAAACCAAACACTTGGGAGAGACTCCTAAAAAATGCCACTCATATAGAGGATATTTGGTTGGAAGGTGTGGATATGTCATCAATATCACCAACCCATTTATTCAAGAATCTTTCATCTTCCTTGATCTCTCTCAGTATTGCTGAAGCTGGATTGCAAGGGCATTTGGGAGATGAAATCTTTTCTTTTCCACATATTCAGGAGATAGGTTTGTTATTTAACAAAAATCTCACAGGCTGTCTTCCAAAATCTAATTGGAGTAATTCCCTCCAGGAATTAAATCTCGCATCATGCCAATTTACGGGGAAAATTCCGAAATCATTTTGGAACCACACACAAATTATTGAGTTAGAACTCTCTGACAACGATTTTGTTGGTCAAATCTCACCATCACTTTCAAATCTTCAAAACCTCACTCGTTTAAGTCTATCCTCGAATAATTTCAATGGTCCATTTCCATCTTCAATTTCAAAACTTAAAAATCTCGAGTATGTAGGTTTGGATGAAAATGGCTTCCAAGGACATCTTCCAAATCAAATAACTGTATTTCCACTTTTACAATGTTTGTACTTGTCTAATAATCTATTGAATGGAGCAATTCCTTCTTGGGTTTTTACTCTACCATCTTTGGAGTCGTTGGACATTTCTTCTAACCAATTCACAGGTCAAATGGGTGAAATATCCTCTTATTCATTGGAATTTCTTAATGTATCTGATAACAAGTTGTCTGGTCCAATTCCAAGGTCAATTTTTCCCAAAAAAACTTTATTTATCTCGACCTTTCTCACAACTTTTTCACAGGAAGTGTGCTGTTGCATCACATGTCATTGAAATATATGTTGTACTTAGACTTGAGTAACAACTCCCTTCAAGGAGAACCTACTGCTTCTATTTGCAATGCTACCTCACTTGGATTTCTAAGCTTGTCCCATAACTGCTTCACCGGCACCATTCCACACTGCATCAGTAGCTCACTTGAAATTTTGAACTTGTCTCATAACAAATTCACTGGCACCATTCCTCACTACATCGGTAGCTCTAGCCTTGCTCTTTCTGTGTTGGATTTGCAAATGAATAAATTCTCTGGCAGCATACCTGAATCATTTGAAGAAGGCAACAATTTGAGGACCCTAAATCTTAATGGCAACCTTTTGGGAGGGTCATTTCCTCGATCTTTGGTCAATTGCACAAAATTGAAAGTTTTAGATCTTGGTAGAAATGGCATAGAGGATGCTTTTCCTCATTGGCTTCATGCTCTTCAAGAATTGCAAGTACTTGTTCTTAGACAGAATAAGTTGCACGGTTTGATTCCTAGTTTCATGGATGAAGCCAAGCTTGCCTTCCCAAAGTTGAGAGTTTTGGATCTGTCTAATAATAATTTTAGTGGTCCTCTACCTGCAACATTTTTCAAATCTTTTAAAGCTATGAGAAATGCAGATGAAGGAGAATATGGTTTGCATTACATGGGTTATGATAAATACAACAGTAGAGCACATTATGAAGACTCCATTGAGGTAACAGTGAAAGGATTATACATTCATTTTGAAAAGATCTTGACTGTTTTTACAACAATTGATGTATCCAACAACATGTTCGAAGGAAAACTGCCACAAGTTATTGGAGAGCTTGGCGCATTGAAGGCAATCAATTTTTCACATAATCGGCTCAATGGTGCAATTCCAAGCTCAATTGGAAATTTGAGGAATTTGGAATCCTTGGACTTATCATCAAACAAGCTCAGAGGAAAAATTCCTCCACAATTGGCAAGTCTAGACTCTCTTGGGTACCTGAACCTATCACAAAATGAGCTTGAAGGATGCATTCCTATGGTCCCACATTTTGAAACATTCTCACTTGATTTCTTTAAAGGAAATAAGGCCTTGCGTGGATTTCAACTTCACATTCCATGCGTCACTCATGAGAAAAGTGAACCGCCACTACCAAGTTCAAGTTTTGATGCCATGTTTTTTGAATTTGGATGGAAACCTATTCTATTAGGGTATATATGTGGAACCTCATTCGGAGCATCCATGTTTTGGGTTATGATTTTCTTAGGAAAACCTCAGTGCATTCCAAGTATGGTGAATAATCTTATAAGGAAGTGGAGGACAAGGGTTAACAGGCGTTGCACTTAGGAGCATTTTGTACTTTGTTCATGTCAAAATTGTCCTTTATATTTTGGTTGTATTATATAATAATTAATAATATTCGTGCTGTTTTACTTGTTTTCAATAATCTTGTAACGAGTGAGTTCAGGAAAATCCACATCATTTTTTTATTCTGCTTATGATGACCTGAAATTAATTTTTTCAAAATTTTTTTGAAATATGGACCCAAAAAAATGACTAAATTACTTTGAACCAGCAGGAGCAATGCACCATTATTCTTCTCCATCCGATTGAAATATTGACGAATGTTTTCTTGTATCCTTTAAAAAATAATAATATGCTTAAAAAATAAATAACTGCTTAACATATAAAAATATTAATTTATGATTTATTTGTGATAACTAATATATATTATCAAATTAGTAGTAATATATAATTATTGTGAGCCAATGTTTACATTAAAATAATACATATCTTTACGAGGAAGAGCAATTAATTTCTGCACTCAAAATCATTGCATCAAGCTTCTCATTGAGAGCGCGTTGGGCAAGTATTAACTTTTTTACTTTTTCATACGCATGTTTGAAAACGTTTTCGCGGAATAACGAAGCAACGAGTCACATTGAAATGATTAGGCTGGGGTGGGAAAAAATCAAAAAAATTAATTGTGAGCACCATCATTCTTCTCAGTACAATGTGGCCACAAAAGTCATCTCCGTACAAGTTTACGCGTGTTTTACGCCATGAACAAAACACGTGACCAGTTTAGTTTTATTAAAAGTGGAAACATTCTTAGTATTAAACTAGAACTTACACAAAATAGTTTTAAAGAAGATCCATAAAAATTTATAAATGTTAATAAAAATTTCACAATCACATGAATGTAAATTTAATTTTTTATTAATTTTATGTAATATTAATTTAAAGAGTACAGTAAAATACTCTGGTGTTCTTTGTATTTTATTTAAATTACAGACATATTTCTTCTATTTTTAAAACTTACATGACCTCTCATATTATAAATGGTTACAAAATACAAGCATTTCCTCTATTTTTAAAATTCTGTTTCCATCCACTCAAATGTTAGTTGATCCTTGACTGTTAAATCACATATGTTAGACTAAAATATTATTTTTAAATATAAATGTTATTTAAAAATAATTTAAATTATCCAAAAAAATTAATGCAAACATTTTTCCTTTTATTGATATTTTAAATTTTTTAGTTACATAAACCTAATTATTCAGTAACTTTTTTAAAATTTATATATATTGGCTAAAATAATATTTCAGACATGCCTTTAAAAATATGATTTTTATTTAAGGAAGAATGATAGTTAGATCCCAAGAGGAACAATTAACTTAAGTTAAGTCCCAACCTATTTTAGAGTGCAAACAAATTTCCTTAGTCCTTTAGTGATAATAAGTCTAACATCTCCAATAAGATTGAAGAATAAATAATAGGTAATAAAGAAATAAAGGATTTATTTATTTTATTGATATATAGACAATAGGCAAAGAATAAGCAATAAACTTAATATTTTTCAAAATTAAATATGAACATTAGTGCTTCCTATTAAAATTTAAAAAATAAGTTATAAATTCATTACAATGAATTTCTAAAACTAAAAACCCAACTTGCAAATTATTCAACCTATTAGATTTAATACTTTTTAATATTAAAGATGAACATTTATTTTTTGTTAAAATTAAAAAATAGATTGCAAATATATCCTAATGGAGTGTCAAAAGTTGAGTTTGAACTTGCAAATATTTAAGAATCCATGTTAGACTTTGTTGGCATTCTAAAATTAGTTGAGTCTAGTAAAAGGAGTTAGTTTCTCACAATATAGTGAATCAAGATTCAAATCTTTGCTGAAACAGTTGCCTACATTTGGTGTCCTACCATACTTTGAATAGAATTACAATAAAAAGAAAAAAGGCAAGTTTTGTTTACCAAGAGAGTTAGAGAGAGGCAAGTTGTCCATGTCTTATCCATATCATGTGGATATTACTATTCTTATGGATGTAGTCATTTTTTTCTCTTATATTTCTAAACATAATCAGAGAAAATATTTTATCTTTATTTTTTCTTCTCTCCATTTTTTTCTTCAATTTTATCTCCTAATCAATCAAAGCATAATTATTCATGCCACCTGTTAGTAACAGTATTATTTTCAATTTGCATTTCATGCCTTGTTGTATAATTGTATTCCTTTACATTGAGTGGCCTTTTCTGTACTCTTGCTTAAAAATTTAAAAGAACATTACCTATTTAATAGAGATTATTTCTCCTCCGATCTAATAAGGGCTAATTAATTAGAAAGACGTTTCCATGGCAAAGAACATGACAATGAACGGACTATGAGAAGAAAAATAAAGTGTTCTCTATATTGATGACTTGCAAGTCAATGTTTCTACATAAAGTCTTTTCTGTATATATAATGACTTTAATTTTGTCGGTCAATGCATGTTTCTTTTTCTCTGTTCTTTTCTTTCTTTGTTTGTTTGTTTTTTCCAACATTGCTGAGGTCTTTTGATGCCCCTTCAAACAAGAGTTTATTTTGATGTTATTGTTTTGTAAAATATATGCTAGTATCAAATTATAATTCAAGTAGAATTAAGAATGGTTTTTAAAATTTTAGCGATCACTTTGGCTATTTGATTTAGACGATCTTCAATTTGAAAAAAAAAGTACATCAATAAAATTTATATGTTTGTTGTTGGTAGCAGAGGAGGTTTGTTAACATGCAGTGAGAAAGCTATAACAATAAGAATTTATTTTACACTATTTTTTTAAATCGCTTATAAAGGTAAGTGAAAACATAATCATTATCAGTTTTATAATTTCATCAAATTTTAATTTTAGTCTCTAACAATAGTTGTTACTCAAGTCTCTACAATTTTAGTGTTTTCAATGTTTTCAATCTCTATAATTAAGGACTAAAAACACAAATAAAAAACAAAAAAGCTAAAAACAAAATTTGATAAAATTATAAGAACCAATAGTTCTGTTTTTCGTGAAGGTAATATTAAAGTAAAAAGAACTTATAAATTATAATTCACTCCATTCTATCTATTACATATAATATCGCCCAGACCGGCTGGCGTGTAGAATGGTGAAGAATTTGACTGGTTTATAGTCTTCATTTATTTATTTATTTTTGGGCCAGGGAACGGTTTATAGTCTTTACAGGATAACGACTTGCAAGTCAATGTTCATATTTGAGAAGTCTTGTGAGTTGCACATCAATATGAACACTTCTTTTTAATTCACCAATTGTACGTTTTTAATAAAAAGGAATTACAGGAGAGAGAAATGATACTTAAAGCTTGTTAACATTAACGTCTTTTTTAAAGATTTTAAATTTAATATGATTCATATGGTAAGTACGGACATAATTTTAAATTCTAAAAATGTATATAAATAAAATTTTGTTTTTGGTGGTGGTGGTGGAGTAGGATTTCCTTGCTAGTTTAATATATGCAGCATGAGAATGCTATAAAACAATAAGAATTTATTTACACTAATTTTTTGAATTTGTTGTAATAAGGGTTGTAAATGTTGGGAGGAAGAGAAAATAAAAAGAGAGAAAATGGAGAGAAAAGATCAAAGGTAAAGGGATGTAATTTTCTATACTTATGCCTTGCTGAATAAGAGAAAATATAGGAAAAACAAAAGTGATTAATTTCATATGGACAATAGTAATCCTATTATTTATAGAAAAATATTTAATACCTTATACTTGAGCTTGCTAGAAGGCCTAAAGTATAAGAGTTGACCTTAACTATATGGTCTCTTTTAAAAAGAAATCAGATGCAATGCATGAAACATGCATATATGAATACAAACATGTTGAATCTCATATCAAGGGGCCTTACAAGTAAGTAAGGTTTATAAAATTTAAAAGACTCAACTCCCACCTAATAAGCTGATATTTTGAAATGAGCTCCTCCTTTATTTCAAATTGAAATCAACCGATGATTCTTTAAAATATTGAATTACATCATTATAAAGATACAACATTAATCAAGCTCAAACTCACACCCCATAATTACCAGTTTGCGAAAATCATTTTGTGTTCTGTAGCTGATTTATATATATTGAGAAAGAAAGGACCACATGGGTACGGCGCTCCCTCTAGCAGAAGTTTTCTCTATTTATAAGATTTGCATTCAAGATCTTACCTTCAGAGAACAAGTTTGCCGAACCATTTAAATTAAAACAACCAATATAATATTGTAGATATTGTAGATATAATATATATATATATATATGTATATTGTAGATATTTAATTTAGAAACATATTTATTTTCCTATTATATTTTTTATGTTTATTTCCCTGTTTAGGTAGTGGTTCACTTTATAAGTCATTAGATTGACAGTAATGTTTTGTTTCAAATGAAATGCCTAAACTATTTTAAAAAGAAAGAGAGAGATAAATAGAAAAATGATATTATATAGTTTATTTACTTTTTGAAGATTATATTTAAAATTTTACTAAATTTTATTCTTATACTTTTATTGTATTAGTATTGATAAAATTTGTCAAAATGATTTATAAATGGGATTGGAAGGAGCATTGCCCAGTTCTTTGAAGTGGCACTTGCCGTACAAATTGGGGCATGTAACATGATTTTGAATGCATCGGCCGTACGTAGTGACAAATTTGGAGTGCTCCTCACGCGGTATTGACTTACTTTTCATTTTTAATATAACTAATTCATGGCATACACTCATTATAAGGGTTGAAAGGAGCTGATTTAGTTTTTAATTCTAATATAAGATAAAATTGGATCAAGTTTACAGGATTTTAGTTTTTTCAGTATTTTATATTAATTCTTAAGCCTAACTTTACTATACTTCCTACATTGATTCATGTTCACTGCTACTTTAATTTCATAACATATTAATGTGAGTTTACTAGGCATGTAAAATTATGAACTATGTTCTATGTTTCTCTCGTTCCTACTCTCAACTCTATATGCTGGAATTATGATTTAAATTTTTAAAGTTTGTGATTCATGAATTGTTGCGGAGTTTTCTTTTTAGTAAGTTTTGTATTTTATTATTTCTATAAAATATAAAATATTGTCCTTCTTTTATACAAAGATAAATTTCATGAAAATTCACAGATACTTCATAGGATTTAAGCCCTTTAAATTATTAGTCAAATAGACAAACTACGCCTGCATATTTAGAAACTCTGGTTTTATAACACATGTTCGAATCTTCTTCCTTCCTTCCTTTCTTTTTCACAAATCCTAATCAATCTCATCTTCATACATGAAATTGATGTTTCTTTGTTCAAATCACTGTATATGCATCTCATAAAAGATATATAAATTTTATCACTTGTTGAAATATTCAAAAATATATATTATTCTTTTTTATTGCTAATATGTATTTTTTTTATTGGAGATAATCTTATTCGAAGTACGGTTGAGCACTAAATATGGATACTTCTCTTAGCATAAATGTTTATTTATTTTAAAATGTATATTGTAGTATTTGAATTGCTTAGATTAAAAAATACATTTAAAAAAAAACCTTTGAGTATGCAAATACATAGAGACACTAATTGCAAATTGTTTACATGAAATAACGAAGCAACTTGTCACATTCTTCTCGATACGTGACCACAAAAGTCATCTCCGTTTTTTGTATGTCCCCATTATGTTGAATGATAGTTTCCTTGTCATTAAAAAAAAAAAAAAACGGTCATCTCCATACAAGTTTACGCGTGTTTTGCGCCAAGAACAAAATACGTGCCCAGTTTAGTTTTATGAAAAATGGAAACATTCTTGGTATTAAACTAAAAATTACACTAAATAGTTTAAAAGAAGATTCATATAAATTTATAAATGTTAAAAAAAATTTCACAATTACACGAATGTAAATTTACTTTTTTTAATAATTTTATGTAATATTAATTTAAAGAGTACAGTAAATACTCTTGTGTTTCCTGTATTTTATCTTAATTACAGATACATTCCTTTTATTTTTGAAACCTATATGACCTCCCATATCATAAATAATTATACAAGACAAGCATCCCTTCTATTTTTTAAATTCTATTTCAATCCGCTCAAGTGTTAGTTGACCCTTGACTGTTAATCATTTTCTATTTCAATCCCTTGTCTTTTTCTCCAAATTTTTTTAATGAATAAATCACTTTCTATTTATTTTAGAGTAAAATACATTATTCAATAAGAATAAATATGAACAAATAGTGTTACTTTAAAGACAAGTAATTAACTTATTGAAGAGTGAAATTCAATTAAAAATATCTTACAGTTTTAAACTCATTCTATTCCACCTATATTATATATAATATCTCCAATAAACCAGGCATATAGAATGGCGATGAAGACTTTGACGGGTTTAATTGATAGTCTTTATTTATTTTTATATTTTGTGTGGGCCAAGGAACGGTTTTTAGTCTTTATAGGACAATGACTGTGTTCATATGTGAGAAGACTTGTGAATTGCACATCAACATGAACACTTCTTTTCAATTCAACAATTGTATGTCTTTTAATACAAAGGAATTAAAGAAGGGAGAAATTATACTTAAGGCTTGTTAACATTAATTTTTTTTTTAGGATTTTAAAATCTAAAATTTATGATTCATATGGTAAGTACGAACATAATTTTACAATTATATTTGGCTAGGTAAGAGAAAACATGAGAGTAACAATAGTGGTTAATTTCGTATGGATTATTATTATTATTATTATTATTATTATTATTATTATTATTAATCTTATTATTTATAGATAAATACTTTTTAGGTAAATATTTATAGAAAACTATTTAATACCTCAAGACAAGGAAGAAACTAATTCCGCTTAGAATTGGAGATTGCCAAATACAATAATCTAATTAAAATGGAGGAGAAGTCAGACTAAAATGGAAGGAGCAAGTAGGGCGAGAAACGAAAAAATTATCGACAAATTTGAAAGGAGATTTTTATCTTCAAAATCCACTTATTTTTTTGAGAGAAAAGTTGGGAGAAAATACGTGGTTACACATGTTATTTTTCTCCCAATTTTATCTCCCTCTCATGTTCAAACCACGCATGGTGAAGACTTTGAACGGGTTTTTTTTTTTTTTAACCAATGGAAATACTTCATATCATTAACAAGGCAAAATGAGACTTTGAATGGTTTAGCCTTAAAGGGTAATGACTTTAAATATCTATTTCTTGAATTAGAGTTAAATTAATAGAGATGAAAATTATAAAAATATTAATATACTTCCGTATATAAAATATTTCATTTAAATATGTAACATATCGTTTAGTAATTTTATTTAAGTTGCATATAAGATTTTCTATAGGTTATAAAATTCATTAACAATTCAGTTTATGTCCCAATTGAAATTTAAAATTTAAAAATTTTGAAACATTTTCCCTTTAGCTGTAAATATAGGTACTTCTATTCACCACTTATAGCAATCAACTAGAATTGCCAGTCACAAACGAGGAGGTTATCGATATCATTGTGTTTGGTTCTTTGTCTGAAACTCTAGCACTCTCTTTCTTATTCTTCCGATGTTCTATCATGTCGTCCTGACGAATGCTTAGCTTTGCTACAATTCAAGAACTCAATTTCTATTAGAAAACCTGATCCTTATTCTCTCTTGTTTGGCTATTGCAATATTGTTGAAACCATCTCATACCCAAAGACATCAGCTTGGAAAAATAGTACAAATTGTTGCTCATGGGATGGGGTCACTTGCAATCCATTGGGTCACGTAATTGGCCTCAATCTCAATTGCAGTTGGCTTCATGGTAAACTCCTTCCCAACAGCACTCTCTTCCACCTTACTCATCTTCAGAGGCTTGACCTCAGTGCCAATGACTTTTAGGGATCTTACATATCACCCAACTTTTCACAACTTGTAAGTTTGACACACTTATCCTTGAGGTATTCTAATTTTTTAGGTGAAGTTCCATCTTAAATTTCTCACCTCCACCAATTGGTTTCACTTTACCTCCAGGATTTGAATCATTTGAGTCTTAATCCAAACACTTGGGAAAGAATTAAAACAAATGTCACTCATATTGAGAATCTTCAATTGCAATGTGTAGATATGTCGTCAATACCAGTGACTCATTTATTAAACAATCTTTCCTCTTTGGTCTCTCTTATGCTTTTGGATGCTAGATTGCAAGGGAATATTGAAGATAAAGTATTTCTTTTCCCAACTTCAGGAGAATATAGATTTGCGTTATAATATAAATCTTACAGTCTTACAGGCTATCTTCCAAGGTCTAATTGCAGCAATTCCCTTAGATATTTGTATATGAGCTCTACGAATTTCACTGGAGAGTTTCCTCGTTGCATTGGACATATGCAATCATTAAATGCATTGCATCTCTTCTTATGCCAATTCATGGGAGAACTTCCATCATCTTTTTGGAACCTCACACAGCTTACTTATTTGTGCATCTCTTACAACAATTTTTCTGGACAAAATTCACCCTCACTTTCAAATCTTCAAAATCTCACTGTTCTAGATTTTTCTCCTAATAATTTTAGTGGTCAATTTCCTTCTGGGTGTTTTACCTTGCCATCTTTGGAGATTGTGGATATTTCTTCTAACCACTTCACTGGTCAAATAGGTGAAATATCCTCTTATTCATTGGAGCCGCTTGATGTGTGTGAAAACAAGTTGTACGGCTTAATTCCATTGTCAGTTTTTCAACTTCAAAACCTTACATTTTTCAACCTTTATCACAACTTTCTCATTGGAAATGTGTTGTTTCATCAATTGTCATGGATAAACATGTATTTCCTTGACTTAAGTTCCAACTTCCTTCAAGGAGAGCTCCTTTCTTCTATTTGCAATGCTAGCACACTTGATATTCTTAACTTGTCCCATAATCACTTCACAGGCACCATTTCTCACTGTATTATCAGCTCTAGCCTTGCTCTTTCTATATTGGATTTACAAATGAACAGCTTCTCTGGCACCATACTTGAATCATTTGAAGCTGAAAACAATTTGAGAACCCTAAATCTTAATGGAAACTTGTTGGAAGGGTCATTGCCTGAATCTTTGGTCAATTGCACAAGGTTAAAAGTATTAGATCTTGGTAACAATGGCCTAGTGGATGTATTTTCCCAGTGGCTTCAAGCCCTTGAAGAATTGCAGGTGCTTGTTTTAAGAGAGAATAAATTACATAGTTCTATCCTAAATTTAAAGGATAGCACAAGCCATGCCTTCCCAAAGTTAAGAGAACTTGACCTATCCAACAACAATTTTTGCGGCCTTTACCTACAGCACTCTTCAAATCCTTTGAAGCTATGAGAAAATTAGATGCACAAACTAGGTTGCAATACTTGAGTTATGAAAACTATATTGAGTTAACATGGAAAGGATTTGACATTCATCTAGAAAAGATCTTGTCTATTTTCACAAGCATTGATTTGTCCAATAACATGTTTGAGGGAGAGATTCCACAAGTAATTGAAGAGCTAACAGCATTGAACGGGCTCAATTTCTCCCATAATAGGCTCACTGAAGTGATCCCAAACTCAATGGGAAATTTAAGAAATTTGGAATGGTTGGACCTTTCATCAAACAACCTTTTTGGGAAAATCGCCAGAGTTGATTGATCTCAACTTTCTCTCAGTCTTAAACCTCTCACAGAACCAACTGGAAGGTTGCATTCCTAAGGGCCAACAATTTGGGACTTTCTCAAGTGATTCCTTTAGTGGAAACAGTGAGTTGCGTGGTTTTTTACTTATAATTCCATGCATCAGCCACAAGGAAAGCCAGCCACCACTACCAAATTTTGAAGTTGGATTCGAATTTAGATGGATACTTGTGGTGATGGGGTATGCATGTGGAGTAGCATTTGGAGCAACAATGTTTCAAGTTCTGATATTTATAGGTAAACCTCTATGGATTGCAAGTATGGTGAAAGATCTACCGAGAGAGGAACAGAAGGGCTAGAAATCATCATTAAGTTATAGTTATATATGTCATATTTTTTCTTTTGGGATTTAAACGTTCGCTTCATTGTGCTATTAAAGGTGAGAAATATAAATAAAAAAGGGCTGTTGTGCTATTTTACTTAATATCTTTAACAAATTTGGGGAGGTCACAATCATTTTTCTTTTTATTATCATAATCTCTAAAATAAGCTATTTTTCTTAGTCAATAAAAATGATCAAATATTTCAATTTATTTTGTCATTTTTGGACGAGACTATAACTTAAACAATCTTAAATGAGCAAGAGATATTTAGAATTAAATTTCTTGCTTTTATTTTTTTATAAACAGAATTAACTGACAATCTCGAATGAGCAAGACTTAAGTTTCATTCATGAGATGTTTAACTAAAGTTTCAAACGTATGCATACACGCTCACTCTTGAATATATGTCTATTTTAACTTTTAAGAAACAATTCAAATACAATATGTTGTGCAAAATTTTAGAATAATTTTGACAATTAACCCATATATACATAGATGCCATTAATTTTTTTTATATAACAATCTAGATTTGGATTATGGTTTATCAAACAGTATCACATGTAAACTTTTTTACGCACAAAGGAAGCATTGAAAACAAAATCCTCCTTTATTTAAATTAAATATGATAAAGTTCTTTGAGAAAACTGACTATCACACAGCGGAAACGAGAAAAGTGGAGAACAATAATGGGCCTTACATTATATGTGCGTTAATCTATCGAAGCCCAATACACTCAGTTATTTGTCGATCATGAAATAGTTGAAGTCAAAATACTAATTAGTGGTGCTGGAATAATGGATGAAGAATCAAGCCCCGCCCCAGAGTAATGGCTTCAATTCAAAGTAGGTTTTCTTGTCATTCTTTTATCTTAAATATAAGTACTCGGCGCTCCATCTGTTTCTTTTTACCTATCATTTAATGTTTTTACATGTAAATTGATAATTGTAATTTACAAGTTAAAATTTCTTCTACTTCTACTCCTAATTAATATGAACTTATTAAAATTTAGTTTGTTTTCTTTAATAAAGGGATAATTTTAAAGATTGGGTTATGTTAGAATAACTAAATTCAAATTTTCACTCCAAGAAATAAAATACTTCCTCTATCTCAAATTTAATATACTTTTAGATAAAATATCGCATACCAATAAACTTCATTAATAAACTTAACACAACCTTATTTTGTTTACATAAGATTATAAACTTTTAAAAACACATTTCATTTAGTATATTAAAAAGAGATATGGACGGAAATTATATAGAAAGAGAAAGTATAATATTATAATAAACCTATTTAATGAAATTTTAATTTTATTATAGTGTCTTATAATTTTGGGATGCTGAATATTTTATAAAATGTCTTATAAAAGATATATATATATATATATATTGTAGATATTTAATTCAATTACAAACATATTTATTTTCCTATTAGCTTTTTTAAACTCTATATATATAGCCGTATGCTGAGTTTTCGATTGAGGAATTCTGTTGCTGGTGCTAGTCTGATGGTTTATGATCATGAAGGAATTGACTACTGTCTTCTTGCTCTCTTGGTAGTTGTTAGACGCGTTTTATGTTTATTTCCTTGGAGTGCTCCTCACGCTGTGTTGACTTACTTTTCAATTTCAATTTTAATATAATTAGTCCATGGTATATACTCATTATAAGAGTTAAAAGGAGATTTGTACACATCAACATTGATATTTACAGTTAACTTTGTCTTAATTTTGGGTTAAGAAGTATTATTTTCACTAAAACGTTCGCAACTACACTGATGTAGACAGTTAACTTTATATTAATTTTGGTTTTTTGCCAATAAAATTATATATTTTACATTAGTAAAAGTAGTTTCGTTGGAAAAAGAAAAGAAAAAGACTTTTTGTCAATAAAAAATGTTCAGGGGCGCAAAAAATTATGTATGCAATTATATTTGACGAAGGAATGTGCCAGACATCACTACAGATTTGGCCATGTTTGTGCTCCTCAAGCGGAGTTGATTTACTTCTTATTTCTAATATCGGATAAAATTGGGTCAAGTCTATGATTTCTTAGTTTTATTCAGTATTTTATATTATTTATTAATGTTTGTTTTAGTTAAAGACAAATTTCATGAAAATTCACAGACACTTCATAGGATTTAAATCCTTTAAATTATTACTCAAATGTACAAACTACGCCTGCAACTATGGAAGCCCTGGTTTTATAACGCATCTTCGAATCTTCTTCCTTCCTTCCTTTCTTTTTCACAAATCCTATTCAATCTCGATTTCATATATGAAATTGATGTTTCTTTGTTCAAATCACTGTATATGCATCTATTTTATCATTTATTGAAATATTATAAATATATATATTTTTTATTTCTAATATGTGTCTTTTTATTAGAGATAATCCTGTTCAAAGCACGGTTGAGCATTAAATATGAGCATTTCTTTTAACATATATGTATATACATATATATATATATATATATATATATTTTAAAATCTATATGGTAGTATTTGAGTTGTTTGGACTAAAAAATGCATTAAAAAAACATTTAATTATGCAAATACATAGAGACACTATAACGAAGCAACGAGTCACATTCTTCTCAATACAATGTGGCCACAAAAGTCATCTCCGTACGAGTAAGTTTATGCGTGTTTTACGCCAAGAACAAAACACGTGCTCAGTCTAGTTTTATTAAAAATGGAAACATGCTCAGTATTCAACTAAAACTTACACTAAATAGTCAAAAAGAAGATTCATATAAATTTATAAATGTTCATAAAAATTGCACAATTACATGATTGTAAATTAAGTTTTTTTATTAATTTTATGTAATATTAATTTAAAGAGTACAGTAAAATACTCTGGTGTTTTCTGTATTTTATCTTAATTACAGATACATTCTTTTTATTTTTGAAACCTATACAACCTCCCATATTATAAATAATTACAAAATACAAGCTTCCCTTTTATTTTTAAATTCTGTTTCCATCCGCTCAACTGTCAGTTGATCCTTGATTGTTAATCACTGTCTTTTTTTCAAAATTTTTTTTAATAAATAAATTATTTTATTTTATTTTAGAGTAAAATACCTATTCAATAGGGTAAATAAAAAAATAGTGTTAGTTTAAAGACAAATAATTACAAGTAAAATTTAATTAAAAATACTTTATATTTTTAAGCGGAGGGAGTAACTCATTTCATTTGACCTATTATACAATATCTCCCATGAACCAACTGTATAGAATGTCGATGAAGAATTTGACCGGTTTAATCTATAATCTTCGTTTTCTTTTATTTTGTGGGCCAAGCAACGGTTTATAGTTTTTATGGGACAATGACTACGTTCATATGTGAGAACACATATGAATTGCACATCAATATGAACACTTCTTTTCAATTCAACAATTGTATGTTTTTAATACAAAGGAATTAAAGGAGAGAGAAATTATACTTAAGGCTTGTTAACTTTAATGTGTTTTTTTTTTAAGATTTTAAAATCTAAATTTATTATTCATATGGCAAGGACGGACATAATTTTATACTTATACTTGGCTAGGTAAGAGAAAACATGAGAGTAAAAATAGTGATTAATTACATATGGATAATCATAATAACAATAATAACAATAATAATCTTATTATTTATAGAAAAATACTTTTTAGGTAAATATTTATTGAAAAATATTTAATACCTCAAGACAAAGATGAAACTAATTCCGCTTAGAATAGAAGCTTGCCAAATACAATAATCTAATTAAAATGGAGAAGTCAGACTAAAATGGAAGGAGCAAGTAGGCAAGAAACGAAAAAATTATGGACAAATTTGAAAGGAGATTGTTATCTTCAAAATCCACTTATTTTTGAGAGAAAAGTTGGGAGAAAATATGTGGGCCACACATGTTATTTTTCTCCCAATTTTATCTCCCTCTCATGCGCAAACTAAGCGTGGTTAAGGTTATAAATAGGATTTTCATTTTTCATGCTGTTCAATAAATAATTGAAATATTTTTTTTCATTATAATAAATAAATTAATAATTTTTCGTTTTGTGAGAGATTTAGTAATTTTGCTGGAAGAGGCCTTTTCTTTCTTTACATACTTATTGTCACTACCCTTTGTCCCCAACATCTCGTGGAAGATAATTTTTACTGTTAGTGAAGTTTCCTTTTTATACTTATAAAAAATGAATGGTAAAAATCTTGGAAGCATTTATATTAGAATAAAATATAAATTATTTTTAAGGGATATTTAATTATATTATTACAATTATCATTTTAAAATGCATATCCTTAAATAAAAATGGGAATAGTTACGTAAAAAATACCCAGTTCTTCCAAATCTCTTAAGAAAACATAATTCGTTAAAAATTTCTTAAGAAAATTTATTTTGTTATTAATGTATTGTCTTCTAAATTCTAATTCGGTCTAATTATGTAGACATTTTTGTGGAAAATTGAAAGTATTAGGAGAAGAAACAATCAAAGCAATAAAAGGCACCACCAAGAGTGTGTTTTTTAAAAAAAAAAAATTCCCGAAGAATTTTAAGAACTTACAGCGATCCATTTGGTAATGTCCAGAATAATATCTGAGAAGGGTTATAAATAGTGGTTTATTAATTAGTTATATTACTTCTTAGAAATAATGGTCCCGAATAATGGTTTATATTTTCCAATAGCATATATTAAAAACTTTTTTTCTCCATTTCTCTTGGAGGCCTTACAAGGACGGAGAAGGGGTGGAGATCGTTGAAATGCAAAATTTCTCAGCAATTTTAGAATAAAACAGAATGTTAATGAAAGAACTCTTCAAAAATTAGAGTGATTCTCTATTTTTTCCCTTTGGCTATAGATATAGGAATTTCTCCTCACTACTCATAGCAATCAGTACTCAATACAGTTTAAAGTCTTTGAAGAGTTAGTTTCACATGGCGTGGCGCTCACTCTCTTCAGTTCTTTGTCTCCAACTCTTTCTCAGGCACTCTTTTTCTTCTTCCTTCGGTTTTCCATCATGCTGACCTGACCAAAGTTCTGCTCTACTCCATTTCAAAAATTCATTTTCCATTATAAAACCTGATTCTGATCTCTCTTTTGAGTCTTACTATTTCCTTCATTGTTGTGGTGATGATAATATCATTCCATACTCCAAGACATCATCTTGGAGAGATGGTACGAATTGTTGGTAGTGGGATGCGGTCACTTGCAATCTATTAGGTCACGTAATTAGTCTCAACCTTAATTGTAATTGCCTTCATGGTAAAATTCTTCCCAATAATAGTCTCTTCCACCTTACCCATCTTCAGAGACTTGACCTAGTTGGGAATGACTTTAAAGGATCACAGTTATTATCCAGCTTCTCACAAATCTCATTATCACTTTCCTATCTTCAATATCTTGTAATTTTAGATTTATCAAATAATGGCTTCCATGGACATCTTCCAAATGAAATAGCCAAAATTTCACTTTTATGGGTTTTAGGTTTATCACAACCAATTGAATGGAACAATTCCTTCTTGGTGTTTTACTCTACCATCTTTGGTGTATTTGGGTATTTATTCTAACCAACTCACAGGTCAAATAGCTGAAATGTCCTCCTATTGATTGGAATATCTTGATGTGTCTAATAACAAATTATCAGCTTCAATTCCAAAGAACACTTTTCCCCCTTGAAAACCCTACATATCTAAACCTTCTCACAGGAGGTATTTAGTTGCACAACTTCTCATGGAAAAACATGGAGTTCTTTCATTTGAGTAACAACTCATTTCAAGGAGAGCTTACTTCTTCTATTTGCAATGCTACCTCACTTGAATTTCTAAGCATGTCCCATAACTACTTCACTAGAACCATTCCATACTGCATCAGTAGCTCACTTCAAGTTTTGAACTTGTCTCATAACAAATTTATTTGCACCATTCCACATTGCATCGGTAACTCTAGCCTTGCTATTTCTGTGTTGGATTTGCAAATGAATAGATTCTCTGGCACCATACCTCAATTATTTGAAAAGGGAAACAATTTGATGACCCTAAATCTTGATGGCAACATGCTGGAAGGGTCATTTCCCCGATCAATGGTCAATTGCACAAAATTAAAAGTCTTAGATCTTGGTAGGAATGCCATAGAAGATAATTTTCCCCATTGACTTCAAGGCTTATGAATTGCAAGCACTTGTTCTTAGAGAGAATAAATTACATGGTTCCATTCCTAGTTTCAATGATGAAACTCACCATGCGTTCCTAAAATTGATAGTCTTGGACTAGTCGAACAACAATTTTAGTGGCCCTTTACCTGCAGCATTCTTCAAATCTTTTGAACCTATGAGAAAGGATGATGAAAGAGAACTTGGGTTGCATCACATAGGTTATGAATCTATATATCAAGACTCCATCGAGGTAACCTTGAAAGGACTGGAAATCCATTTAGAAAAGATCTTGATACCACTATTGACATATACATCAACATGTTTGAAGGAAAAATTCTGGAAGTTATTGGAGAGCTTGGCAAATTGAAGGTACTCAATTTTCACATAATAGGCTAATTGGTGCAAGTCCAAGCTCAATTGGAAATTTGAGGAACTTGGAATCCTTGGACTTGTCATCAAACAAGCTTGTAGAAAATTTTCCTTTAAAATTGGCAAGTTTTGACTCTCTTGGGTTCTTGAACCTATCACGGAACAAGCTTGAAGGATGTGTTCCTATGGTCTCACATTTTGAGACATTATCAAGTGATTCCTTTAAAGGAAACAAGGGTTTGCATGGATTTCAACTTGACACTCCATGCTACATCACTCATGAGAAAAGTCAACCACTATTACCAAGTTCTGATACTGGATTTTTTGAATTTGGATGGCAACCTCTTCTGCTAGGGTTTATATGTGGAGCCTCATTTGGAACATCAATGTTTTGGGTTTGATTTTCTCAGGAAATCTCAGTGGACTGCAGGAATGGTGAACAATCTTCTAAAGAGGAGGAGGACAAGGGTTAATACGTGTTCTGATTGCAAGAATGTAAATATAAATTTATTGTGACCCAATGTTTACAGTTGTACGAGCAACTTATTTGTTGCTTTCTAATTCTGAGGCGATGGCCTTTCAACTATTGTTGCATACATGTAGGTAAAACACAATAGATTCATACAAGAGGTTCAGAACACTTTCAAAGAAAATTGTTTGTGGAGGGAATGACAAAATAAATTCAACTCTCTATCCATTTGTGAAAAAAAAAGGATTCCATTTATGATTTTATAGTTTAAGGGTAAAATGGTCTTTTATCCTATTCTATATAAATTTTTGTGGCAATAGCATTTAGCCCCAAAAGTTCTCAAACATTGACACATTATAAATAGCATTAGGTTTAATTAACGTCAAATGAGAAAATCAGAACCTCGAGTCCACTAAATACTGAAGTTTATTTTTAGACTTAAGTAATCATTTTTAAGCCCTATCATATGGAATTCATGCTTTATGTACATACCCTGGAAGAAGCTTCCGTCTAAGTAAACGATCAATCTTGTGTATGTGTATTTTTAGCAACCCTCATCCTCTTGAGTAGAATACTTATGAATCAACAAAGACATAATATAAAAAAAGGTGCCACCAAGTCTTTCATACAAAAAAACTCACATTTATGTGTGAGTATACATTTGTTCCGACATGTGAGAAGGGGTATTGAATTGATGCATGAAGCATTTCGCATCACACATTCTCAACCCACACGTGTAGAATGGTATAAAGACTTTGAACGGTCATTAAGTCTTTATTGTATGATGACTTTGAAGTCAATGTTTATATGTGAGTAGACTTGTGAATTGCACATCACGATTAATTTGCTCATTATTTTTTTTTTTTGGGGGGGCTAATGTCGGCACAGAAATTAAATTAAATAATTCTCAATCGTGGATAAGGGAACGACCAGGAAATAACGTTGAGAGGGTTAGAAAATTTACTCTGATTGGCCTTTACTGTATTTAGGAATAGAGTATGTAAAAATTTTCCTACTTATTATTATTATTATTATTATTGTTGTTGTTGTTGTTGTTGTTGTTGTTGTTGTTATTGGTTTTTTATAAAAATTAAAATTCACTAATTTGGAAACCATTAAGTTATACAAAAATTTCTCGCAGTTTTGTGGTATCATGCTTAAATTTGTTTTCAAACCATGCGTATGGAATATTGTGAAATTTGAAAGCAACTATTTAATAAGAATGTAATTATGATGAAGATATGTCTTCATTTATGAGAGGTTTATGGGGAAAAAAGTGGCGCAATTGGAATAAAATGCCATTAGGTGGAAAAACGAAACAAAAAGACATGGAAAGGATTAGGTAAAGAAAAATCAAAGCAATGAAGCACCAATACCGTGCAACTATTTTCTGTATAGTGACTTCAATTTGTAGGTCAATGCATGTTTCTTTTTCTCTACGTTAGATTTAATTTTGATGTTACTTTTGTAAAATATATGCAAAGATATAAAATTTCAAATTCAAGAAGAACTAAGAATAATTTTTAAAAATTATACTGTTTTATGTCAATTGGCTTCTGCAGACATAGACATCACTGCTCGGTTCTGTTCAGTATTCAGTAATAGGAAGTCGTTAACATGGAAAAACGAAACAAGAGACAATGAAGGGATTACGAGAAGAAAATCAAACCAATAAAAAGGGTATACGACCAAGTCTTTCATTATCAACACTTCGTTCTAATTGAACAATTACATCAAGAGGCCAGTTATAAATAACAATTTTATATATTTTTATTCTTTTAATTTAGGCTTTTAAATATTTATTTGAGACTAATTAAGTTTAATTAGATATTATTTAATTTTATTAGCCAATATTCAGTTTTGAAATTTTAACTAACTAAATCTTTGATTTTAAAATATAAATAATATCTTTAATATTTTTACACAGGTGCTATTTAATTTTATTTTATTTGTGTATATTTTCTAAATTCAATTTGAAAGATATTGATAAAGAATGTTTTGGATAAGAAGAATATGGACATGTTTAGAGATCAAATCAAGAATTAAATCTTTAAAATTTTGTTTAAATTTATTTTGAGTTATTTAGTATATTTTTCAATTAGGGTTGCTTAGAGTGGTTTTATCATTTTATTTATTAGTTTCTCTTGGCCATTTGGGAATACGCATCCCCCCCCCAACACGTATAAAAGACGCATGACTGGACGGGGGAGGAGAAAAGAATCAGAGGCGATGTTGATGTTTTATTTGTAGTTCTATGAAGAGCTAAGTTTTTTTAACGTGATCAATTATAAATTATGATCCTAAATTTTAATCAGAGTTTTTAATATTCAGAAAATATTTTATTCTAGCTTTATTTCAAATTTATATTCTTCTTCTCTTTACCTCTGAATTTTATGTTTTAACTGTTATTGCTAATTAAAGTAGTTTTATTGTATAATTTTTGGGTTATAAGTTTTATCTGAGGTTTTACTTGCTATAATCGATTGATATAGTAACTTAAGAGTAATTTGGCCTGCCTTAGGTGATTATCCATACTTTTTTTTTTTGGTATAGCTAACATAGAACAGTTGTTAGGTTGTAGGTTAAAGGAGATCTCAATTAATCTATAACTTAATTTCTTGTTTAATTCTTGAATGATAATTTAAAAAATATATAATAAAAATAGAATAATAAAGTTAAATAAAATTGATTTATATGGTGGACAAAGAAGATTAAGTTTAGGTGATTGGGTTGTGATTGATTGTGCTGTTTGTGCTTGATAATTTTCTCAGTTGAATTTTCTTTATTTATTTAATTTTAATTTAGTTTTTTTAATTAATTCCATCATAAAAAACCACCCACTTTTTAATTTTTCATAATCATAATTCAAATAGCTACTCTATTGACTCTTAGGGAGACGACCTACGTTGCGCTTTACTGCCAAATCTAATTTTTATTAATTTTGGTGTTATTTGACAGTAGTGCCAACCAATGTCACCAAAAGTGAAGTGCCGCTTGGCGAGGTGGTATTGTCACAAGTCCTACATTGGAGAGCCTCACATATTGTGTGAAGTTTATAAATTCAAACAACTCTCCTACTCAATAGGTTAGTCTTTAAAAATGATCTCTATCTTTGGACTTGTGCTTGTCACAGTTTGTAGCTTAAATTTAAATTTAAATTGAAGAGTTCACGTTATAAATAGGGTTTTCATTTTTCATGTTCTTCAATAAATAATTAAAATAATTTTTCATTATGATAAATTAATTAAAGAAGGACCTCTTTAGAGATTGAATTCATAATATGTTCATTATTTTATATTTTTTTTAATGTGAGTTCAGAAATTAAATTAAATAGATCTGAATCACAGATTGGGGAATGACCTGGAAATAACCACATGAGGGAGTTAGAAAATTGACTATATGTACTTGCGCCTTTTCTGCTGTCAGGAATGGACTAATTAAAGTTTAAAAAAAAATTATTAATTTTCCTTCATAGTCTAACGTCTTCTCTTTCCTATTATTTTATACAATATTAACGTTATATTTTTTGGCCAAGAAACGCACACACACAAAAACACTAAACATAAATTTTATTAAAACTAATAAAATAATATAAATTATCTTCATTAAGTTATCTCTTGTAATATTAAATTTCTAATTATTTTTTGCCAAGACATTTTCTAATTGAATAATTTTTTTTGAATGAAATTTCAATAAATTACTATATAAATAAGCTTATATAAATGACTTTTAAAATTGTATGCTATATAAATAAGTTTATTTATATTTAATATTATTTTTTTCAATTTATATATTATAATTATCATCTAGAAACTAAAGTGACTTTTAAACAATATTTAAAATATATTATTTGACAATTAATTAATGGTTGGATGGATGTAAATATAATTTTTAAAATAGAGGGAAGATATGTGTTATGCAAATTTTGATTTTGAGGGAGGTTTATATTGGTTTTAAAAATAAAAAAGAGGTCTCTATAATTAAAGTAAAATAAAGGGAATGTTAGTGTATTTTACTCTATTTATTATTTTTTTAAAAAAACCGCTATGATATAATTTAAAAAGTTAATGTGCTTTTTATATCTCCTAACATTATTTTAGGTATACGGGTCGCCTAAAGTTAAGGGTGGCTCAATGTAGTCTCTTAACTTGTTGAACTTTCGATAATCAGTTGAAGAAAAAATAATTTAATTGAATAAAGAATTATTATTTTTTGTTATTACATTAGGATTGAACCTTTAATATCTACCTACACCCGGCCAACCTTACCCTTATCACGGTAACCTACATGGCTAAATTAAATTTTGAGAATAAAACATATATATTAATGAAAGAACTCTTCAAAAATTAAATTATTAATTTTCTCATCATTTTATAATTGTGTTTATGTTGGTTAAGAAATTAAATTAAATAATTCTGAGCCCTAAATTGTGGGATGACCTCGAAATAACGGTGGGCAGGCTAGAAAATTTAATTTGCATGAAACATTTCGAATCACACATGTTCAATATAAGTAGCCATAGTATTTCCATCATGTTTTTGATCAAGTTTTTTAACTACATTGATAATAAAAATGACATTTAACTTGTCATAATTGAAATTTAAGTTTTAATTTCATTCAAAAATGTCATAGTCATTTTAACATTTAAATCCTTCGAGTAATCTTTTCAAGCATTAAATACTAAAAAGTAATTATTTTTCTTCTTTTTGCCACCTTGCCGCTGAAATGATTCTCTTTCCTTAAGCTATAAATATAGGGATTTCTCCTCACTCCTCATAGCAATCAGTACTCAACATTGTTTAGAGTCTTTGAAGCGTTTGTAGTTTCACATGGGTGGTTCTCACTCTCTTCAGTTCTCTGCTCCAACTCTTTCTCATGCACTCTTTTTCTTCTTCCTTTGATTCACCATCATGCCGCCCTGACCAAAGTTCTGCTCTACTCCATTTCAAAAACTCATTTTCCATTACAAAACTTGATCCTTCTGATTTAACTGATCCCTATTCTATGTCTTTTCTTTTCTATCTTAGTTGTGCAGACGATAATAACACCATTCCATACTCCAAGACATCTTCTTGGAAAAATGGTACAAATTGTTGCTTATGGGATGGGGTCTTTTGCAATCCATTAGGTCACGTAATTAATCTCGGCCTTAGTTGTGGATTCCTTCGTGGTAAAATTCTTCCCAACAATAGTCTCTTCCAACTTACCCCTCTTCAAATGCTTGACCTTAGCTTCAATGACTTTCAGAAGTCTCACATACCATCCAACTTTTCACAACTCGTAAGTTTGACGCACTTGCGCATCACTTCTTCTGGCTTTTCTGGTGAAGTTCCAACTCAAATTTCTCATCTACACAAATTGGTTTCTCTTGATCTCATGGATCCTGTAAGTTTTAAACCAAACACTTGGGAGACACTAACAAAAAATGCCACTCATATAGAGGATATTTCGCTGTCAGGTGTGGATATGTCATCAATATCACCAAGTCATATATTCAAGAATATTTCATCTTCTTTGATCTCTCTCAGTTTTGTTGGCAATGGATTGCAAGGCAATTTGGGAGACGAAATCTTCTCTTTTCCACATATTCAGGAGATAAATTTGGATGGTAACGAGAATCTCATAGGCTATCCTCCAAAGTCGAATTGGAGTACTTCCCTCTTGGTTTTAGATCTATCTCCATGCCAATTTAGGGGAGAAATTCCAAAATCCTTTTGGAACCTCAAACAACTTACTTATTTAGAACTCTCTAACAACAATTTTGTTGGTCAAATCTCACCATCACTTTCAAATCTTCAAAGCCTCACTCTTCTAAGTTTATCTTCAAATAATTTTATTGGTCAATTTCCATCTTCAATTTCCAAACTCAAAAATCTCGAGTATGTAGATTTGTCTTATAATGGCTTCCAAAGACATCTTCCAAATAAAATAACTGGATTTCCACTTTTAAAATATTTGTTCTTGCACAATAACCTATTGAATGGAACAATTCCTTCTTGTTGTTTTACTCTACCATCTTTGGAGTGGCTGACTATTTCTTCTAATTAATTCACAGGTCAAATAGGTGAAATATCCTCTCATTCATTGGAATTTCTTGATGTGTCTAATAACAAGTTGTCCGGTCCAATTCCAAGGTCAATTTATTCCCTTGAGAACCTTACATATCTAAACCTTGCTTACAACTTTCTCGTAGGAAGTTTGCAGTTGCACCACTTGTCATTGAAGTACATGCAGTACTTTGACTTGAGTAACAACTCGCTTCAAGCAGAGATTACTTCTTCTATTTGTAATGCTATCTCACTTGAATTTCTAAGCTTGTCCCACAACTACTTCACCAGCACCATTCCACACTGCATTAGTAGCTCACTTGAAATTTTGAACTCGTCTCATAGCAAATTCTCGGGCACCATTCCGCACTACATTGGTAGCTCTAGTGTCGCTCTTTCTGTGATGGATTTGCAAATGAATCAATTTTCTGGCACAATACCTGAATCATTTGAAGCGGGCAACAATTTGATGACCATAAATTTTAATGGCAATCTATTGGGAGGGCCATTTCCTCGATCTTTGATCAATTGCACCAAATTGAAAGTCTTAGATCTTGGTAGAAATGGCATAGAGGATGCTTTTCCCCATTGGCTTCATGTGCTTCAAGAACTACAAATACTTGTTCTTAAAGAGAATAAGTTACATGGTTCGATTTCTAGTTTCAAGGATGAAACCAAGTTTGCCTTCCCAAAGTTGAGAGTTTTGGACCTGTTAAACAATAATTTTAGTGGCCATCTACCTGCAGCATTCTTCAAATCTTTTAAAGCTATGAGACATGCAGAGGAAGGAGAATCTGGCTTGCATTACGTGGGTTATGAAAACAACACCAGAGTACATTATGAAGACTCCATCCAGTTAATCATGAAAGGACATGGCATTCATTTAGAAAAGATCTTGACTGTGTTTACAACAATTGATGTATCCAACAACATGTTCAAAGGAAAAATTCCACAAGTTATTGGAGAGCTTGGTGCTTTGAAGGGACTCAATTTTTCACATAATCAGCTCACTAGTGTAATTCCAAGCGCAATTGGCAATTTGAAGAAGTTGGAATCTTTGGACTTGTCATCAAACAAGCTCATAGGAAAAATTCCTCCAGAATTGGCTAGTCTAGACTCTCTTGGGTACTTGAACCTGTCACAGAATCAGCTTGAAGGATGTATTCCTACAGTCCCTCATTTTGACGCATTCTCAAGTGATTCCTTTAAAGGAAACAATGGCTTGCGTGGATTTCAACTTGACATTCCATGCGTCACTCATGAGAAAAGTCAACCACGACTACCAAGTTCAACTTCTGATGCTGGGTTTTTTGAATTTGGATGGAAACCTATTCTGTTGGGTTATATGTGTGGACTCTCATTTGGAGCATCAATGTTTTGGGTTGTGATTTTCTAGGGAAAACCGCTGTGGATTGCAAGTATGGTGAATGATCTTCTAAAGAAGAGAAGGACAAGGGTTAATAAGCCTCGCACTTAGGAACTTCTTATACCTTCTGCATGTCAAAGTTTTCCTTTTCATTTTGGTTATATCAATGCTCATGTTGGTTTTACTTGTTATTCAAAATCTTGTCATGAGTCAGTTCAGGAAAATCATAATAATGATCTGCTTCGTAAGCTGAAATTGATTGTTCTCCGTTTAATTTTATTGACATATGGACAGCCAAAGTATGAAGACGAGGAAATGATCGAATGACTTGGAAGCAGCACCAATGCAAGCCATCATTCTTCTCCATACAATTGAAATGATAACGAGTGTTTTCTTGTATCCTTTAAAACAATAAAATATTATATTAAAAATCAAATAACTCCTTAATTGATAAAAATATTAATTTGTGATTTATTTGTGATAAATAATATATATTAGCAAATTTTTTATGTATTAAAATTTAACATGACAATTACATATTAATTAATAATATTTCTGTATAATTACTTTTGATCCAATTTAATATTTGTGCGAGCACGTTGTATGTTGGTTTCCAATTCTGACGTATAACTGCTAGCCTTTCAAATAGGAGTTAACAATTTTTACGTTATATTAGCAGTAGCGCCTTCGTGGCTTGCTGCTATTTCTCAGTAATATAGATTATATGCTCAAGTAGTCAAATCTACATCCTTCCATTTCATCCATAAACAGAGTCTGACCCACTTGCAGCAAGCACTGCATCATGTCTTCTATGAGCTATATTGGCAACAAGATGACCAAAATGTCTTCAGCAGTTAAGTGGCATGCAATATCCCAAATTAAAGCATCAACATAAGCCCCTGATATCCAACCACCAACATGAAAATTAAAGTTGCTTCTTGGCCTTCAGCATGACCACTATGAGCTCTTTTTAACTTTCAAGGTTACTGATGTAACGATCTAGTAACGATTAACAAAACTAGTGGAGAGAAATATAATAGAAATACGACAATGGAGTATTAACAATTCAGGAAGTTCACTCTTAAATCTTAAATTATTTTTCAAAAAATATTTGGTATCTTATATTATGAAACCGTGTAAAATAATTTATCAATTATTTAAATCAAAGTGGATTGTTCCATCTGTCAAATTTGAAAAAGCAGACATTTATTCTACTTGTGGGTCCACTCGAATTGCACAGGTGGCCTTTCTCCAATCAAAGCACTAAATCATCATCACACAGCCGTCGTCTAGCCGGGACAGAGCTTCAGTCAAACACGCCCTTCTTCCCATCCCAAACGATAGCAAATTACAAGCATCTCCTTCCCCTACGTCTCCGGCTTAAACCTTGCCGGCTCCGGCCATAATACATGTTTTTCGAAAATTAGTTTAATGGTAAAATTATATTTATCTTTTAACACTATTTTTTTTTCTGCATACCCCTAAAAATTTTTTATTGACAAAACAGTATTTTTCTCCTTTTCCACCAAAACTACTTTTACTAAGGGACAATTACATTCAAGTTTCATAGAAAGAAGTTTATTATTAAGAGATCTCATAAAGTTCACAAAATACTCCCAAATTTTAAATTCTAAGCATTGACGACTTGACTAAAGACATTAACAATTGGGCAATGCCCATTTATAACTTGTAATAGCAAGTTGTAAATGGCTGTTACTAGTTATTAACACCCTTAGTCAAGTCATCAATACTCAGAATTTGGGACTTAGAAGTATTTTATAAAATTTATGAGACTTCTCAATAATAAACTTCCTTCTGTGAGACCTGAATGTAATTTTTCCTTTTACTAAGGTAAAATATAAAATTATAACAAATTATTATAAACCCTACTTTTTTTTTATAAAGGAAATATATTTCTTCAATGAAAAGCAAACAAATGATAAGAAAATATTAACTTCATATTAATACCACATTGATAAATTTAATAAATTATTTTAATTTAATATGATATACTAATGATTTGTAAACTCACATTGCTGTCACAATTCTAATTAGAATATATTGGCCATTTTGAAGTATATGACCATCTTTTTGAGTTTGGGTTAAGGACCAATTTTGCTCTCGAAGTATTCATTTAGGATTTACAAATGTGCTAAACTTGATTTTTGGTCAAAACATCCCTTAATATTTAAAAACACATCCATTTGTACCCCCACCAATGATTAATCTATTAACCAATTTTTGACAAAAAATGTACACATGGCATCCAATTAGAAATTAATAAGGTCGCTTGCATCCTTGAAGCATTTCCCGAAAGGCATTTAATGTCCTAAACTCGATTTTGGCATGAATCATTTTCCTCCTTAAATGTTAAAAAATCGTAATTATGCGTGTCTTGGTTTTAACCCATTACAGGGGATGTTAATTTTAGTTAGTAGACCCTACCCAAGTGTGTGCACACGTGGCATCAAATGGATGCCTAATCAGATAATTATATTAAAATTAAAAGTAATTCAACACTGCGGGAGTAGCACAAACACGATCGAATTTCTTCACACCTTCAAAACCCTTTTTGCTTCTCGATTTATTCTCGCATCTTCTAAAACCACTTTACAAACTTTCTTAGGCCCAGTCAGATTAATATCTGACCCATTAATCTCTTTGTCATGATCTTAAGCATATTGATAATAAGCTCATTCATGAGAACTGAGCAAAGCAATGCCAAATCAAATAGACATTGACCAGAGTGAGCGAGACAGCAAAAGCAATTGTATACTAGGGTAACTCTAAAGCAAAGATGATGGGAACTGGGATCTTGGGTAATCTGGCCCAAACTGACTCTTTGAGACCGACAAAAAAGAACCAAAAAATGAACAAAATCATGAGATCAAATGTTATTGTTGATGTAAGGCCATTATTGATAGATAAATTGTAAGTATTTGTATCAGCACTGTTTAAATAATATAGAAATATAATTGAATTTTCAGAACCTAATTAATTAAAATATTGGTGATATATAAAAAAAATAAAGCATCAAGCAAGTCTTGTTTTGTCAGCTATATTAACGTATTATACTACTTGTATCACTGTTTCTTGAGTTGCCGGCCCAATTTCTTGACTAATGAGATCAGAGTTTTGGTTTAGTCAAGGGCCAGTGAAGCTTGGGACTCATGATACCATGTGTTGAGACATGTAAGACTTGAATAAAAAAAGAAAATGAATAAATTCATGGATGATAATGAATTCATGATTGAAAATTACAATAAAAGAAAAATCCTTCACTTGAATGACATACGACAAACCCCAAAAACAATTTGAGATGAAACACATAATTAAGGTGAGGACCTATATTAACCTCCCTTTTTAGGTATAATTCAATCTCTTCACCTCTCATACAATGTGATACCTTTTACATAGATATTTGGTTCACCAATTAATCAGGTAATCAACACCAATTATCTTGACTAATTCAAAAGTAATAAATTTGTACTATATCTAAAAATTTTGGTAAGGTTCAAGCTAGTTTGAGTGATTGAGGTACATTGGATTCAACATCAAGTATGACACAATTTTAACTGCTTCCAATTTTAACTAGGGCTGAGCAAGCAACCCGCAACCCGCATGACCCGCTTGTACCCGTTAAAAATGAGCAGGTAAAAACCCGCCCATTTAACAAAAAAAACGGGCGGGCTGAAATTACGGGCTAGCCCGTTAATAAGATATACGGGCGGGACGGGCTACGGGTTAGCCACCGGGCAACCCATCCCATCCCGTAATAATTAAAAAAATTTACAAATTATTTTTTATTAAGATACTGGAAGAGTGAACAGTGAAACAGGATGCTGGCACCTGGCACGCTGCGTTTTGCCTTCTGCGGTTTTCCAAATGCCATTTCCTGCCAATGCTGAAATCAAAATCCTCGGACTCGGTCCCTCTCCCTCGCAAATCATCGAACGCAGACGGCAGACCAGGCAGCCGCAGCTTCACTCAGACAGCCAAACTCATACACGCAGAGCGACAGAGGGCAATCGGGCAGACTCATAGACATAGTCGCATACCTCCACAGCTCTAATCGCGCATTCTCACAGTCATAGAGCAAACTTGTCTTCTGGAGTGTTTCCAAGGATTCTGGGCCACGAGGCTATAGGGTAAGCTTTTGAGAATTCCTTCCAAGGATTCTTCTTTCTCGCAGACGGCAGACCAGGCAGCCGCAGCTTCACTCAGACAGCCAAACTCATAAACGCAGAGCGACAGAGGGCACTCGGGCAGACTCATAGACATAGTCGCATACCTCCACAGCTCCAATCTCACATTCTCACAGTCGTAGAGGAAACTTGTCTTCTAGAGTGTTTCCAAGGATTCTGGGCCACGAGGCTGTGGGGTAAGCTTTTGAGAATTCCTTTCGAAGGATTCTTCTTTCTCACAGTCGCTACCGTGCGTTTTAGAAATATCTTCCAAGTATGATTAATCACTAATCTATATTAATTACTTGTAATTTCTTTCTTATATGATATTTGTGTATGATATAATTAATCTTGCTCAGTCGCTTAGTCACAATATCTTGCTGCCTTGCTGGCTTGCTCACTCCCTGATTCAATCTTGTGCGTGTCTTCCTGCCAAGCTAAGACCAAGTAAGTTATTAACATTATAGTGATGATTATTTGACTCAGCGACTCTGCCTTTGCTCTTAGCTGTGAATTAGTTTAACTGAATTGGATATGCCACCAATAGATTTCATTAACAGAGTTTAGAGGTGACAAAAAAATCCTTCCTTTCCAATTTTTAGTATTGCTTGCGTGTCCAACCTGTTGTAGTTAATTAATTTCTTGAACACCATATTCCCAAGCAGTGTCGATGTGCCTGTAAGTCTGTAACTAGCTTGTAAAGAAGCATCAGATTCCATGAGAATCCCACAAAAGAATGGATGCATAAGTTAATTAACTTACTTTTGAATATATTGAACTATTTCATAATGTAAAGATCTCCACATTGGTGGGAACATGTATAAATACATTGCTTGACTGAAATTATGCTTGAAAATTAAAATTATGTGATTTTTTTTGTATTATGAAATTATGTGGCTGCTTGATTGGAATAATTGTAGCTTCCTAATTTTTTAGAATTTAAAAGGATGAGCAACACTCAAACCCTTAAAGCAAATGTGGAAGAAGGTGATATTGAAACTAAGGCTACTGCGACATCACACAGTCCCACTACTCGAGTAGAGAATGCCACAAATAATGAGGGATAAAAATAAGCACCGGCTAGGAAAAGGAAGAAGCAAAGATCTAAAGCTTGGAAGCATTTTACAAGGATGCCACTTGAGCAAACTAAAGGGAAGCACCATGCCAAATGCAACTATTGTGGCATGGATTATGCGAGTCATCCTTCAAACCATGGGACTAAAACACTTTGGTGGCATTTTGAAAAGTGCCCAAAGAATCCAAACAAAGCCAACAAGATGACACAATCTTTATTCTCTATTACTTGTAGCCAAACAATGTCTACACAATTGTTCAATCAAGTGAGGTGCAGGAAGGATCTTGCTAAATTTATTGTAAAAGATGAGATGCCTTTTTGAGTTGTGGAAGGGGAGGGTTTTAAAGAACTATTGCACGAACTTGAGCCTAGATTTCAAATCCCTTCACGATGGACAGTTGCTAGGGATTGTTACAAGTTGTATCTTGAAGAAGCAAGACATCTAAAGAAATATTTTAAGAAATTTAAAGTTCGTGTGTCCCTTACCACAGATTGTTGGACTTCAATTCAAAATGCCAACTACATGTGTTTGACTGCTCATTGGGTTGATGAGAATTGGACATTACAAAAGCGGATTTTGAATTTTTTTGAAATTGAAAACCACAAAGGAGATACCATCGGGAAGGAAATTGAGGGATGTTTATTTAGTTGGGGTATTGACAAAGTATTTACAATTACAGTTGACAATGCTTCTTCCAATGACACTGCAATTGCATATTTAAAAAAACATTTGAGGGAATGGAATGGCCTTATATGTGATGGAGAGTATATGCATATGCGGTGTGCTGCTCATATTTTGAATTTGATTGTTTCTGAAGGATTGAAAGAGATGAATAAGTCCATTGAACTCATTCGGCATGCAATAAAATTTGTTAGATCTTCTCCGGCTAGGCTACGTAGATTCAAGGAGCTCATAGGAAAGCAAAGAATTGATTCAAAAAGTCTACTTAGTATGAATTGTCCCACTAGGTAATTTTAATTATTGTTATGAATTGTTAATTTATATTTACTTTTCTAATATTAATCGAGCTTTTTTTATGTTGTTATGTGGAATTCAACATATCTGATGTTGGAAAATGCTGTGAAGTTCATTAAAGTTTTTTATCGGATTGAAGAAGAAGATGAAGATTACAATGAATACTTTAAAAAGAAAGTTGAAGAAGAACCTCCTAGTCCATATGATTGGGGTGTTGCAAAAGAGTTTATAGTCTTTTTGAAGCTATTTTACTCTATGACATTGAAGTTTTTTGCATCAAATTTTGTGACATCTAACACATGTTTCCAGCAAATAGTTGCAATGCAAACTAAGCTTAAGACAAGTGCAACTAATTCTAATGCTCTATTGGGTGACATGGTGAGAAGAATGCAAAGTAAGTTGGATAAATACTGGGGTAAGGCAGATAGCATGAATTCATTGTTGGTGATAGCAGTGATACTAGACCCTAGATACAAATTTAAATATGTCCAAGTTGCTTTGGAAAATATGTATTCTGAGCTTATACAACGTGAGCTGGTTACAAAAAATATCATGGATGTCTTGTATAGCTTATATGGTGAATATTCAAAGGATGTCTTTGATAGTGAAGCTTCTCAATCTCAAGCAAGAGCAGAGCACGGTGATGACAATGTTAAGGAGAATCAAGATTCAATTCCTGATGATGATGTTTTGGCGGTCATAGATGATGAAACAATGAGACAATTCTATACAATTGCAAGCATTGAACGCCAAGAGGAAAAAAATTCGGAGGTGGATGAATATCTTCACGCTAAGTTAGTTGCTTCTCGTGATCCAAAGTTTGATGTTTTAGCTTGGTGGAAAGTGAATGCTTTCAAGTATAAGGTCTTGAGTTTGATTGTACGTGATGTGTTAGCTTCACCTGTCTCTTCAGAATCTGCTTTTAGTACGGGAGGTCGAGTACTGGATACTTTTAGGAGCTCCCTCTCTGCAAAAATGGTGGAGGCACTCATTTGTGCTCAAAGTTGGCTTTCTCAACCTACTTTCAAATTGAAAGAGCTTGATGTTGATAATTTTGATGAGTCTGACAATCTTGTTATTGGTAATTTCATTAACATTTTTACTTTATATTACTTTACATTGTTCAAATATTAATGAATATAATTTTCTTAATTTGTTTTGTAGAGGAAGAATCAGGGGCTCAACGTTCAACCGTCTCTAGTGATTCTAAAGATGACGATGACGATGACGACGATGACGATCCAATGCAAGATTAAATATGTGATGGATTGTTTTGTTGCCTTGTTGGCTTGTGAGTTGTGACAAGATTATTTGTGTTGGATTGGCTTTTTGCTTGTGCCTTGTGGCAAGACCATTTGTCAAATTGTATGGTTACTTTGATTTGATTAATGTTGTATTTTGAAGACTGATGATGCTTGGTGCCTTGGATGACTGTAATATGTAACTGCTAATATTAGAGTTTATTTCCTTTGATGATGGTGATATTTGAACTATTTTTAGGTAGAATTACAAGAATTTTAAAGCATAGAATATTTTTTTATTTTAAAGCAAATTGAGGGCTGTTTGTCCAAAACGGGCTGGTCAGCCCGCCCAGACCCATTTGCAGCCTGCCCAGCCCGTTTTTAAATGGGCTGAAACGGGCTGCAAACGGGTACGGGCTGACCCAGCCCATTTTGGACAAAACAGGACGGGCTACGAGCAGCCTTACGAGCCAACTCGTCCCGCCTGTTGCACAGCCCTAATTTTAACTAATCATTTTACAAACCCATGTCAAAAATTATCAGAAAATAACTTGAGTGTTCTAAACTTTAATTGTTATACTTATATCTAGTGGCATGAATAAAGATATATACTACAACAATTTTTTTTTTTGCTTTAGGGAACATTTTTTTTCATAGTAGAGTCCTACCAGTATTGCCTAATGTGAGCATAAACAATATTTTTCATACATTGCTATTGATCCCTAATTTTTTTTGGCAAAACTATTGATCCCTAATTTAAGCAACAGATCTTTGGCAACATTTGAAATTTGTTCTCTAAAATAAAATATGCAATAGTTTTCAAGTGTTGAAACTTTCAAAACTTATTTGGCACCATTAGTATATAGGCACTTTCATCGCACGTAAGATTTCAAAACTGTTATTTATTCAAGAGTCAATATATAATTTAAACTCTAAACTATAGGTTCGGGGATAATTTAAACTTTAAACTTTTAAAAGGTATATTTTAAATCATAAACAATTAAATTTGGGGCACTTTTATTCTCACCATTAAGTTTAAACAAACATTCATCAAATTAGAACCTAATGTGTGACTTTCACCAAATGAAGGTAAGAGAGAGAGGGAGAGCGTGATTTGGTGAAAAACATTTATTAGGCAATTTTAAAAAAACCAACGGACATTTGTTGAAATTTAACGGTGGGTTAAAATTGCCCCAACCTTAATTGTTTAGGATTCGAAATGTACTTTTTAAAAGTTTAGGGTTTAAATGCCCTTGGACTTATAATTCAAGGTTCAAATTGCATATTAACCCTTTATTCTAATAAACACTAAAAAATTAAATGTTACTAATAAATCTTTTTCTTCATAACATTTAAAAACTGTTGCTAGTTGTTTTGTAGTAATTTTTTTTATTTTTGATAATTGTTCTATATATTTTTATTTATTTTTTTAATTATTTATTTATTATTTTGATAAATTTAAAAATTATATATATATATATAGGTCATGTTTGAAGTGTGATTAGAGTCATCCCTTCTTTTCAAGAGGATATCAATGTTCAAATCCTAGGCGAGAAATAAAATATTAAATTTTAGTTATTTAATGTTTTCACAACAATTTTTAAATCTTGTCTGTATTTATATTATAAGCAACAGGCAAAATATATTGCCCATTCTTACCCAAACAAGTTAAACGTGTTGCCTATTTCAGTATTACAAAACCATTGCTTATTGTCTTACTATAAGCAACAATTTTATGATTTGTGCCTAATTCAAAATATGGAAAAAAAAAAACATTACTTTAGACTATAGGTAACGATGACATGTTATATGCTCAAATACCATTGCTTATACCTATAGTCTATAGGAAATGGTTTTGTATCCTGCTGCAACGGTTTTTGACCATTGTTAGAGATAAAAAAATTGTAATGATAAAAACACATAATTAAGAAAAACTATAATAATATAATACCCCAGCATTTTTAGAGATGATAACTATACTGGCAAGCATTTAGCATGTTCGAACCTTTAAAAACATATATATTATTATATTCCTTATTTTTTTTCATTTGAATTCATGCTTTTCCCTCCTAATATGTAGAGCATGTAATTAGAAACTAAAATATGAAAACAACATGTCATAAATAAATACACTTAAAGAGATCAAGTGATGATGCTACAGGTACAGGGCAGCTAAGGTTCTGTTGCGTTTCGTCTTAGTGTTTATCTTCTTTTTTCCCCTTCTCAACACACCCCACCCAAAAAAAAAAAAAAAAAAGATCAAGTGATAAAAGAGATGAGTTTTCGAGATTTCAAACTGATTTTTTTTTTTTTTAAGAAAAAACAGGGAGAGAGAGGGGCTGGTCATATACGGTGTTTTGCGTTTGGCCATGGGTTGAATTCACGAACAATGTATGTGCATATACTTCAAGGTGGCCTATATATTCTAATTACAATATATGAGCGTAATGTGAGTTTACTAATCATCAATGTCAATATAATATATAAATTAAACTAATTTATTAAATTTATCAATGTGGTATTAATATGAAAATTAATTATTTATCATCATCTATTATTTACTCTGCATTGAAGTAATATCATTTTTGGCCTTGAACAAGGTGTATATATAATTTGTTTAAATTTTATGTTAGTAAAAGTAGTTTCGGTGTAAAGGGAAAAATATTTTTTTGTCAATAAAAAATATCCAGGGGTGAAAAAAAAAAGACTTGACTTGAGAATGAATGGGACATCACTACAGATTTGGTCGTTTCTGTGCTACTCACGCGGTGTTGATTTACTTTTTTTTATAAGGATTTATTTCTTATTTTAATATAATCATGTCATTTACACCAACATATACTAATTATAAGAGTTTAACAGTATTTTTACTTATTTCTTTAACCTTGTGCTTGTAATATTAGTATGCTTTTATTGAGAGGCATAGAGAAGGCTACATATAGAAAGTTTTGACTGGTAGGAAGTTGAATGAAATGCCGTAAAGTAGAATCGCTGGAGACGTCAACTGCCAAACAAAATGGTATTATTATGAGTCCTACATTGAGAAGCCTCATAAGTAAAGTGAACTTTATAAGATCAAGGGGACAACATGCTTTGATTGTGAAGAATGTTTTAAATTTTTGGAGAAAAATATATCTTGATAATTTTTAAATATTGATAAAATTCAATAATTATAATTAAAAACTTATTAAATTAGTAAGTTTTAGCCACTTATAGATTCCAAATTCCAAGCTTTCTCTTTATAAGATTTGCATTCAAGATCTTAGTCAAATCCCATATGTTCATACTCAAATTATCAAATTAGGCGTCTAGAAAAGTAAAGCGCACTCCTTGGATGGTGGATAAATATGACTGTGAATGCTCCTCACGCGTTGTTGACTTACTTTTTCCATTATTAATATAATTAATTCATCATGTACGCCCCCATGGGTGTTAATTATAAGAGTTAAAGCACATTTTTACACATCGACTATTGATTTTTTTTTTTTTTGGCCAGACACCAACTATTGATTGAAGCAATGTTATCTCTCAAATATTAAAATCGTTACAATGTTATTCCTTGATTAACGATATTTATATTGGCTGTTAACTTGTATCAATTTTGGCTTAAGTATTTTTGCTGTTAGGGTGTTCGCTACTTATAAGTTTTCTGGAGATTGTTCGAGCGATATTGTGAAATTATTATTTTTGGCCGTTTGCATACGCATCTTACATCCGAGTGAGATTTGTATCATTTCCATATCTTTCCTAAACACATCTCTCCATACCCAATCACATCTATCCATTTAATTATTCATTTGATTTACTAGCGTCAAATCGCTATTTATGGCATCATAATCTCAAGGCTCCAATTTACAGGTCTTTCATTTTTAATTTATATAAGTTATTAAATTCAATATTTTTTTAATGTGGGACTTTTCACATAGGTTCAATTCCTCTCACACTTGGACAGCCAATCAATCTACCCTGATGCATGAGTCTGCAAGCTCTCTATACTAAATATGCCACAAACATTGAATCCCTACTTTAGGACTAGTCCTATATGAGACTCAAAAAGTGTGACACATAGAAGTCCCTGCTGCAATCAAGGTTAGTCCCATTTTGGCTTTAAATGTGTACACAATGTGAGTAACATGAGTTTACTAATCATCAATAGATCATAAAAAATTTAAAAAAGAGAGTTCATCAATGTGGTACTATTAATATGAGAATTAATTAATTAATTAGTATTATTTATTTACTTTGTGTTGAAGTAATATCATTTTTGCCCATAAATATTGTATACAATTTTTTATAAATTTTATATTTTACAACAGTAAAAGTAGTTTTGGTGGAAAAAGATAAAAAGACTTTATTATAAAAAAATGTTCCGGGGTAGAAACAAATTATATACTCCCTTTGGGCCAAAATATAGTACATTGGTAATTAATTCACTGTTATAAAAAAATATTAATTGAAATCTTAATTTGTTAAAAAAATTTGCACCTTTTCAATTATACCCTCATTAAATATCCTATATAACTGCATTGATAATGATAATTAATCAAAATTCCAAAGCATCATTTTTTCATTTAAAAAAATAATGAATGAAATAGGAATATAGTTAAAAAAATATTATAAAAATTACCTAATACCTTATATATTGAATTAAGCAAGGCTTCTAAAAGATGTTTTGTATTTGGTTTGGAGGTATGCAATTATACCTGACTACGGAATGTACAGGACATCGCTACAGATTTGGCCGTGTTCGTGCTCCTCACATGGACTTGATTTACTTACTTTTTTTTATGTTTTGGGTAAATGGACTTGATTTGCTTTTCATTACAACTAAAGTATATTTGTGATCTTCTTAATTTAATTATATAAGATTTTAATTTGGTTTCTTAATTTCTGTTAATTTTATAAATTATATTTTCAATCTTTTAACCCTAATACTGTTAGTTCACATGATTATTTTTTGTGCCAATTATTTTTTATTAAAAAATTAAATTTAATAGATCAACATTTGAGAATATTTTATCAATATTTATAAATTTAATGTAAAAAAAGTTTGTGATGAAACTAACGGTATTAAGGTTAAATGACTGAAATATATTTTATAAATTTAAGGAACCAAAATAAAATCTTTTATAAATTTTAAATGATTAAAAGTATAATTTAACCTTTTATTTCTAATATAATTAATTTCCCATAATGTACGTCTCCAATTATATTAAGAGAATGGGATAAGAATATGAGAGAAACGATAATAATTATTATACATTGTGTTTGGGATATATATGCAAAATCTCAACCACCAAACTTGTAAGTCGAACAAGAGACATTGCATGATCCTCCCACCTTGAAGCAAGATATCCTCTCAATCATGAAATTGTTGAACTCAAAAAGAGTAATTAGTGGTGATGGAATAATCGACGAAGCAGCCAGACCCACAGGGAAGGCTTCAATTGAGAGTAGGTCATATTTTTAATTAAGAAATGTAATTTACATGTTAAAATTTCTTCTACTTCTCTTAATTAAAATGCACTTATTAGAATGTAATTTATATTCTTTAATAAAATTATAAAAGGATAACTAGAAAGATTGGGTTACGTTTGTATATCTGAAACACGCATAGATTTGAATTAATTAGCTCAAACAAATATATAGAGGAACCAAGTTTTTAATAGAGATCGTATTATCTTTTAGTTTATAATTTGGGCTAATCTCAGGAATTGGTGAAAACATCTTGATAACTAATAAATAACTAACTTAAAATTTTCACTGCAAGAGTGTTTTTTTTTTTCAAATAAAAGAATGGTTCTTCGAAATTTAAATTATTAATTATCGCATTATTATACACAAACAGACACTCGCTTATGTATTTTGCTAATGTTGGTTCTAAAGTTATACTAAATAATTCCGAATCATGGCTGGGTTAACGTTTTCTGAGGGTTAGAAATTTTTCTAGGACTGGCCTTTTCTTTCTTCACAAATAGACTTATTAATATATATTTCAGATCTTGTATATTAGTTTTTTAAAAAATTATAATTTTCTAAAAATAATATATGCGACCTTAAATTATAAAAAATAGTATATTTAAGTTTTAGATATAAAGTTAAAATGACGAATACATAAATAAACTGCATTTCATTAGCTTCTTGTGGACTTCCACGTTAACTTGGAAGTCAAAGTTTTTCTTTTCTTAATTTCTTTCGCCTTAGACTTGGAAATCATTGCTTATTTCTGAGAAATTTTGTGAATTGAAAACAAAATTATGAGAGGGTTAGAAAATTTGAAGGGATTGGCTTTTTTTTTTATAAGCAGACTTAAGAAATTTTTTACATATTAATTAATTTGTTTTTTTTAAAGTATGATATATAATATAAAAACTCAAATATGTAATATTAAATTTGAAAGGATTAGCCTTTGCTCTGATAAGTCTTTGGAAGGTCGGAATCAACCCACTTAAACTTTTTTTTTAACATAAAATAGTTATATATATATATAATGAAAATATATAAATATTTTTATATTAAACTCAAATATCTTATATAAATATATAAAGGCCGGAGTATTTTCTTATTTATTGCGACATTGGATAGGGGCATTGATTATTAGACACATGAAAATTTGGCATCTCACATTTAAAAGGATTAGGTGAAGAAAAACGAATATGGAACCATTAATATCGTCTAAATTTAAAAATAAGTCAATGTTAGTAGGCGAGCAGACTTGTGAAAGAGTTGTAAGTCAATATCAGTATGCGAGTAGACTTGTGAGACTTGGAAGTAATTAAAATATATGATGACGTTTTATTTGTAAATATAAAAATTTGAATTATAAATTTCAGAGTTAAGGTTATAAATAGGATTTTCATTTTTCATGTTGTTCAATAAATAATTAAAATACTTTTTCACTATAACAAATAAATTAATAATTTTTTATTTTGTGAGAGTTGAAATTTTGCTAGAACAGGCCTTTTCTTTCTTTACAAACATACTTATTGTCACTACTTTTTGTCCCCAATATCTCGTGGAAGAGAATTTTTGCTGTTAGTGGAGTCTATTCTCTATACTTACAAAAAGAAAAAAAGAATAGTAAAAATCTTGGAAGCATTTATATTAGAATCAAATATAAGTTATTTTTAAGGGATATTTAATTTATATTATTATAATTATCATTTTAAAATACATATTCTTAAATAAAAATGGGAATAGTTACATAAAGAATATCCAATTCTTCCAAATTTCTTCAGAAAATATAATTCGTTAAAAATTTCTTAAGAAAAATTATTATGTCATTAATGTATTTTCTTCTAAATTCGGGCTAATTATGTAGACATTTTTGTGGAAAATCGAAAGTATTAGGTGAAGAAACAATCAAAGCAATAAAAGGCACCACCAAGAGTGTGTGTGTGTTTTTCTTTTAAGGAAAAAATTCCCGAAGAATTTTAAAAACTTCAGCGATCAATTTGGTAATGTCCAGAATAATATCTGAGAAGGGTCAGAAATAATGGTTTATTAATTAGTTATATTACTTCTTAGAAATAATGGCCCCGAATAATCGTTTATATTTTCCAATAGCATATATAAAAAAAAAATATTTTTTTTCTTTTCTTTTGGAGGCCTTACAAGGACGGGGAAGGGGTGGAGATCGTTCAAATGTGAAATTTCTCAGCAATATTCAGAAGCCAATCCCACTAAAAAATGCCATCAATATCACCTAGCCATTTATTCAAGAATCTTTCATCTTCCTTGATCTCTCTCACTATTGCTGAAGCTGGATTGCAAGGGCATTTGGGAGATGAAATCTTTTGTTTTCCACATATTCAGGAGATAGTTTGGCATTTAACAAAAATCTCACGGGCTATCTTCCAAAATCTAATTGGAGTAATTCCCTCCAGGGATTAAATCTCGCGTCATGCCAATTTACGGGGGAAATTCCGAAATCATTTTGGAACCACACACAACTTATTGAGTTAGAACTCTCTAACAACGATTTTGTTGGTCAAGTCTCACCATCACTTTCAAATCTTCAAAACCTCACTCGTTTAAGTTTATCCTCAAATAATTTCAATGGTCCATTTCCATCTTCAATTTCAAAACTTAGAAATCTCGAGTATGTAGGTTTGGATGATAATGGCTTCCAAGGACATCTTCCAAATGAAAAAACTGGATTTCCACTTTTAACATATTTGTACTTGCACAATTTCTCACAACTTTTTCACAGGAAGTGTGCAGTTGCATCACATGTCATTTAAATATATGCAGTGCTTTGAATTGAGTAACAACTCCATTCAAGGAGAGCTTACTGCTTCTACTTGCAATGCTACCTCACTTGGATTTCTAAGCTTATCCCATAACCACTTCACCGGCACCATTCCACACTGCATCAGTAGCTCACTTGAAATTTTGAACTTGTCTCATAACAAGCTTGCCTTCCTAAAGTTAACAATTTTGGATCTGTTGAATAATAACTTTAGAGGTCTTCTACCTGCAACATTTTTCAAATTTTTTAAAGCTATGAGAAATGCAAATGAAGGAAAATCCAGCTTGCGCTACATGGGTTATGGAAATGGCTCCATGGGAATATACCAAGACTCCATTGAGGTAATCATGAAAGGATTGGACACTTATTTAGAAAAGATCTTGATTGTTTTTACAACAATTGATGTATCCAACAACGTGTTTGAAGGAAAAATTCCACAAGTTATTAGAGAGCTTGGTGCATTAAAGGGACTCAATTTTTCACATAATCAGCTATCCGATGCAATTGCAAGCTCGATTGGAAATTTGAGGAAGTTGGAATCCTTGGACTTATCATCAAATAAGCTCATAGGAAAAATTCCTCCACAATTGGCAAGTCTTGACTTACTTGGGTACTTGAACCTATCACACAACGAGCTTGAAGGATGCATTCCTATGGTCCCACACTTTGAAACATTCTCAAATGATTCCTTTAAAGGAAACAAGGGCCTGCGTGGATTTCAACTTGACATTCCATGCATCACTCATGAGAAAAGTCAACCACCGCTGTCAAGTTCAAGTTCTGAAGCTGAATTTTTTGAATTTGGATGGAAACATATTTTGCTAGGGCATGTATGTGGAGCCTCATTTGGAGTATCAACGTTTTAGGTTGTGATTTTCTCTGGAAAACCCCATTGGATTGCAAATATGGTGAGGGATCTCTTAAAAAGGACGAAGAGAAGGGTTTACAGGTGTCGCACTTAGCAACCTCTTCTACTTTCTTCATGTTAAAATTGTCCTTTTTTTCTTTGGTTGTATTAATAATATTCATGTTGTTTTAGTTGATATTCATAATCTTATAATAAGTGAGTTCAGGAAAATCACAATAATCATGTTTTATTCTGCTTATATATATATAAGATAAGCTGAAATTGATCGTTTTTTGTTTAATTTATTGAAATGAAGACAGTGAAATGTGTAAATTACTTCGAAACGGCACCAATGCCCTTGTTAACGAGTGTTTACTTGTATCGTTTAAAAATTAATAATATTCTTAAAAATCAAACAAATCTTTAATTATGAAAATATTAATTTATGATTTATTTATGATGACTAATATATATTATCAAAATAATAGTAAAATATATATATTTATTGTGAACCAATGTTTACACATTTGTACGAGCAAATTACATGTAGCTTTCCAATTATGAGGTGAAGGCCTTTCAACTAATTTTTGCATGCATGTGGGTAAAACAAAATAAATTCATAAGTTAGGTTCAGAACAATTCCAAGGGAATTGTTGGTTGTGGAGGGAATGACAAAATAAATTCAACTGTATCTCCATTTGAAAAAAAAAAGGATTATAGATACTCTTAACGTTATAGTTTAAGGATAAAATGGTCTTTTTATCTTATTGTATTTAAATTCTTGTGGCATAATATAGCCTTTGGCCCCAAAACTTCTCAAATTATAAATAGCATTAGGTTTAACTACCGTCAAAAGAGAAAATCAGAATCTCCAGTCCATTAACTAAAGTTTATTTTTAATATATGAACACATTTTTTAGATTTAATTAATCATTTTTTAAGCCTATCATCTAGAATACATACTTTATGTACGTACCCTGGAAGAATATTCTATCTAAGTAAATGATCAATCTTGTGTATTGTGTGTTTTTAACGACCCTCATCCTCTTGAGAAGAATACTCATGAACCAACAAACACATCGACACGGTACTTTAAAAGGTGGTACCCAGTCTTTCAAACATAAAAGCTTGTATTTATATGTGAGTATATATTTGTTGCGGCATGTGAGAAGGGGTATCGAATTGATGCATGAAGCATTTCAAATCACAATAAAATCTGTTCATGTCATCCAAAAGCCCAGTTAGCCTGACGCTGCTCGAGCCACATAGGGGCACATCGGGCTGGGCTTCAAACTGGGCAACAAGAAGGGGTCAAATTTTGCCTTGCCCTGCTAGCCTGAGCATGTCTTTTTAGAAAAAAAAAATATTTTTATGAATAATATTTATTTTGTGATATTAGTTTTGGACTAGAGTTATCATGAACTATATTATTTTTATGATCTTTTTGAACATGTCTTATCAATACAATTTTTTTAATGTCTTTCAAAATTTAAAATTTGTTTTCAACTTAATATTATTTAAAAATAATTGTGAGTTATTGATCATATGTAATTTTAAAAATAATACTTTTGATTCTAATATTAGTTTTATAAAAAATATTTTAAATGTTAAAAAATATTTTTTCTTAAAAGAAATTTTTTGTATTTATTTCAAAAAAAATATCTATAAAAATATTTTTAGATCAATTGAGCAAAACTCAGCATGAACACTCAGGCATCGGGCTAGCCTATGTTGCACATTGAGCTTGGCACCAAGCAGGGGTGATGGTCGACCTAACCTGCCAACATGTAGCCCTTCACACATGCTCAAACAGCGCGCATGGAATGGTGAAAACTTTGAACGGTTAAGTCTTTATTGGATGACTTGTAAGTCAATGTTTATATGCATGTAACTTTTGAATTGCACATCAATATTAATTTGCTCACTATTTTATACCGTGTTTGTGTTTTTTTTCCCCCAACCTCGGCACAGAAATTAAATTAAATGGTTCTCAGTCATGGATAAGGTAATGACCTGGAAATAACGTTGAGATGGTTAGAAAATTCGCTATGGTTGGCCTTTTCTGTACTTAGGAATAGAGCAACAATTTATTTATTATTATTATTACTACTACTAATACTTTTTTCTTCAAATTTAAATTCTCAAATTTGTAATATTAAGTTATACAAAAATACTCTCTCTGTTCAAAAATATAAAATATTTTTTAAGAGGTTGAATGTTAAAAAATATAAGATATTTTTAGTTTTTCAAGGTATAATCATTACATTTTTTAAAAGTATCCCTATTGAATAAATCACTTGATATTTATTTTAGGATAAGACACTCTATTAAAGAAGAGTAAATATGAAAAGATAGAGTTAATTTGAAGATAAGTAACTATTTTATTGGTGGTAAGATTTGATTAAAAACGTCTTATATTTTTTAATGGAGGAAGTATATTGCAGTTTTTTGGCATGCTTAAATGTGTTGTCAAACTAGGCCTATGGAATATTAATTGCAAACTTTGGAAGCAGATATTTAGTTAGAATGTAATTATAATAGAGATATTGCTTTATTTATGAGAGATTTTTTGGGAAAAATTCGCACAGTTGGAATGACATTCCATTATTAGGTGGAAAAACGAAACAAAAAGACATGGAAATGATAAGGTGAAGAAAAATCACTGGCAAGTCTTGACTTTTCTTGGGTATTTGAACCTATCACAAAATGAGCTTGAAGGATGCATTCCTATGGTCCCACATTTTGAAACATTCTCAAGTGATTCTTTTAAAGGAAACAAGGGCTTGCATGGATTTCAACTTCACATTCCATGCGTCACTCATGAGAAAAGTCACTGCCACTACCCAGTTCAAGTTCTGATGCTGTGTTTTTTGAATTAGGAAGGAAACCTGTTGTACTAGGGTATATATGTGGAGCCTCATCCGGAGCATCCATGTTTTGGGTTGTGATTTTCTCAAGAAAACCGCGGTGGATTGCAAGTATGGTGAATGATCTTCTAAGGAAGTGCGGGACAAGGGTTAATGGGCGTCGCACTTAGGAACTTCTTGTACCTCCTTCATGTCAAATTTGTCCTCTATATTTTGGTTGTATTATATAATAATTAATAATGTTCATGCCGTCTTACTTGTTTTCAATAATCTTGCAGCAAGTGAGTTCAGGAAAATCATATCAATCATTTTTTATTCTGCTTATGATGACCTGAAATTAATTTTTTTAATTTTATTGAAATATGGACCCCGAAAAAATGACTAATTTACTTTGAATCAGCAGGAGCAATGCACCATTATTCTTCTCCTTCCGATTGAAATGTTACGAATGTTTTCTTGTATCCTTTAAAAAATAATAATATTCTTAAAAAATAAACAACTCCTTAACTGATAAAAATATTAATTTATGACTAATTTGGGATAACTAATATGTATCATATTAGTAGTAATGTATATTTATTGTGAGCCAATGGTTACATTTGCACGAGAAATTTATATGTTGCTTTCCAATTATGAGGTGATGGCTTTTCGAATAGGTGATAACAATTTTTACGTTATATTAGTGGTATCACACACATCTCAGTTATAATTTTTTTGAAAAAGAAAGATTATTTTAAAATTTTAGAGAAAATTTTGGCCATTCACATGATCAATAATGTACAATAGATATGTGTCTTTTTTTTCAGATGAAAATTGGGTCGGCATCACAGAATTTGTACAACAAGGGTTATTATAGATTTCTAGAAGGACAAGAAAATTCATATTGATTGGCCCTTGCGGTACTAATTGTTGCATGCATGTAGGTGAAACAAAACAAATTCATACAAGAGGTTCTCTAAATATAAATATCATTATATTTAACAACTGTCAAATGAGAAAATCAGAATCTCAAGTTCATTAAATACTGAAGTTTATATTAAATATAGGAACAAGTTTTTTTTTTAGATTTCATTAATCATTTTTAAGCCTATCATCTAGAGTTTGTACTTTATGTGCATATCCTGGAAGAAGATTAAACTAAACCCTAAACCCTAAGCTTCTATCTAAGGATCAATTTTGTGTGCACAATAGAAGTTGTAATTATTTGTTCCATTCTAACTATTGCCAAATGAAAAATAGTTATTGTTCAAACTAAAGCAATCATAACTATTTATAACACTTGAACTTTTGAATAAAAATTTTATATAAAAAAAGTTATAATTACTTGTTTCACCCAAAGTCATTGTTAAAAAAAAAAGTAGTTGTTATTTAAATTAAAATAGTCATTAATATTTACTTTTTTTATTTTAAACTGGAGATATTTTATTTATTTTATCAAAAATCATTAATGCTAGAATGTCCCTAAGAAATTAAAAAAAATTATGATATTTTGTGAGATCTTATTGTTATCTGCATATTTTAAAAAGATTTTCCTGTCATTTCCATTTTTTTTTTATCAATCTCACATTACTACAAACATTGAATGGTCGAAACTTGGGCCTAATAATGGAAACGATATAAACAATGTCGTGAGCTCGAATCAAGTTTTTTGGGCTGCCTCTAGACTAGCATAATGGGGCCTTGTTGGAATTCATTTGCTTTTATCACATTAATAATCAACGATTCATCGTAAAAGAATTATTACTTTATTTCCAAACTATCACTTACTGGGTTATTTCAATTTCTAATTGTATCAAGAAATCAACTTCCTCAGAAATTTATAATAGACCGCTTGCTTTATTTCTTTTAACATCCAAGAAATCTATTTTTTTAAAAGAATATAATATCTGTAATAATAAAGACAAAAATATCCTTTTGGAAAAAAAATATATACATATAATAAAATCAGGGAAGTAGTGTTGGAATATTAGAGTGTGATTAGTGATTAATCACCTAGTTTGTTGGTGACCTTAAAGTATATATAATAAAGGGCACCACTTTGGATTAGAAAGTATGGAGGTTAACATGATACATACCCATGACCGCCATTGTTTGGGGTTTGTTTATGTTCAAGATAAGGTTATGTTGTTTTTGTAAATCATCCTAGTTGGGT